CTGCGTTGGATGTTTGTCCTTGGACGGCGCCCCCGAGCTTTCTGAGGGCTCTGGAGGAGTGTGCAGAGTCAACCCCGGGACCGACAATGAATTTGGCCATGTGGCAGAAGCCTCACCTTTTAAAAAGGCCCAACCTGGGATCGACTGGCCGCGCATAATATCAAACCGCGCCCACAATTCGTTCCAACGCGTTTCCTCACTTGGGCGGTTCGCACAGTAGTCGCTCTCAAGTCCCGGAGTGTTAATATGCACAAGCAAGCATGTTTGAACCGACAGTGTATTCAGTGCGCGTGAGACGTTCGGCCGACGCGAGACCACAGTCCAAGCTGCAACCTGGTCCTTAGCGCCTATTGGTCAGCCAATCATACACGAGCTTTCGCCTCGTTCGGGCATTAATGGATAGCCCATGTTGGCCTAGTCTCGTGACCAGACGTTCGGAGCTCCAAGCGGGAACGAAAAACCGGGAGTTCCCGAGCACCTTAACGAACGTCTGGTCACGAGACTAGGAGATACTGCCTTCTCCCTGATCCTTTTGATTCATTTTTCGCTATACTTCAGGGTTTGGACGTTGAAGGGCATGTGTCCATGGCGAAATAACACAACCTGTGTTGCGCATGATATGCCAACTGGATCTTGCCCAACTTCAGTGGACACACTACTTATTTCTGATGACGATGACAGAGCCCATTCCTTTACCGAGAGATATGACGGCTATGTACACATCGCAGATTTTACATTTCGACGTAACCACGACAACTTCTACGTAATATTTCACCCCTGCCAGACAGCCGGGCCTGCAGAATTCATCAGCATCTTGTAGACGACCGTGGACCAAATTAAACGTACCGGGGATGGTGTAGTTGGTGACACCCTGCACAATGACGGGTAAACACCTGGTAGCGCGAAACAAGCAAGCGAATTGCACGCACAGACTCAGCGTAGACGTCGATGTTGACACCAGGGTCGGACATGCTGTACGCGCCGGGGAACTTGACGAGGTACGAGCCCGAGGGCTGAGCCGAGCCGGAGCCCTGTGGACAGGAATTTCAGGACATTACCATGAATGGGTCGAGGCGGAAGCTACTTACGGTGATAACGAGCTGCGCGCACTCGGGATAGAACTGGGGCTGATTGGAGGTGTGGATGGCAAGGAGCTAAGCAAGACGATGGTGAGTAACAACACCTTGCTGGCCAAGTTCAAATCCCGTTTATCGTACCTCATGGCGGATGAAGTACTCGCCGGGTGCCAGGGAAGCGGGGATGGTGGAGGTCCAGCTGTCGGCGATGAGGATGCGCAAGAGATCGGCAGGAATTGAAAACCAAGGTTGTTACCTGTTGTTGTTGGCAACGAGCTCACCCTGACCCCATGTGCCCGTCGGGAGGTCACCAGAGATCAAGCCGGCCTCGTCGATCTTGAACTGATTGCGACGCGGTGGTCAACGTCCGTCCTTCTCGACGGCAAAGCACACAATCTTTACATACCCACTCGAGAGACGACGGCGTCGCCGACGTGCATGCACCGTTGCAGTTAGCCATGTAGACCATGACAGGGCCAATGGTGTGGGGCCATTGGCTGTCGGCACGCACGCGCCCGTCAGCAAGGCGACCAAGAGTTAGCGCGATGTTCTCGCAGATACTCACTTCCAGTACGCAATGACCTTCGAGCCAGCGGGAACGGTCGCAGAGAGTTGACCGGAACCGAGGCTGGCGCCGTTGCTGTTGCAAGCGAGTGAGGGGTCAGTCGGGTCGGTGAGGGGGTTGTATGTGTCCCATTCGCGCTGGATGCTGGTCTGACCAACGGGCGTGTTGTAGGACTTGAAGCTACAATAGACTGTCACTACCGATGCTCAAACTGGGAGGCGGGGACTCACCCCTGGTAGGTCTGCCCATTGATGGAGTAACTGAGTACTCCACCGTGTGCGGCGACCTGGATGGCGCCGAAGGCGAGAGTAGCGAGCGCAGCGGCAGCGAACATGTCTAACACCTTAATGCTGAGTGTTTGAGCGGGAGATCAAGCGCAAGGAGACGTGCTTGCTAACAAGCCTCCAGTCTTATACGCACGGTTGAATTACATGGTAGATCCGCTCAGCATCGTCGGTTCGTGGGACAGCAGTGATGTGTCCGCGACGTTGTTCCGTCGTACTGTGCCTGGAAAATATATGGGAACTACCTCGGATTGAACGAAGTTGTTTGTTGCGACGGCGTAGGCGTCACGAGCACTTACCGTTGATAAAATGGGAAGGGAGGATGGTAAGCGAACGAGTGTTTACGCTGCGCTATACCCGGAATGGGCAGGAACAGATCCGAGAAGTGGCCTACTGTCGTCATGGCAGTCGATCAGGCAGCAACTTCTGTTGACACATCCTACTGACGAATGAATGCAGAAGCTCGCGCTAAAAGTGCTCTGCGCGCATGCCTTTCCTTGTGAAGCAGGCATCGCGGGTCGCTCGGACAATTGTTGCGGAAGCGCAGAGACTGCTGAGGGCTGCTGACGCAAACTGTCATTGAGTACGATCCAGATATACGCTGTCCATCTACGAACGCACATGCCCGCATGACTGTCCAATGGGTATGTTCTCGTACATTCCAGCCGCGCTCGCACTGCCGCAACGCTATGCGAGACCACGGGTTTGAACGTTAAACTAGTCGTCTTCGATGATCGTTATCCGCGGGGCGTCGACGACCGGCACGGGTTCCTGACCAGGGTCCGCAGAGGCGAGGGTCGACGCTGCGGGCATTGGACCAACGTCGTCTTCATCATCCTCTTCATCGCTGCCCTCTTCACTTGGCTGCCGGAACACCAATTCCTTGCCGCTGACGAGCCGTCGTTTCTTGAACGGCGCGGACGGCTGGTCTCCACTTGCCCCCGAACCTGTCCCGGCCGCGGTGTCCTTCCCTCCGCCATTCTCCGCGCCTTTTCCTTTTGCGCGCTCTTTCTTCTTCTGCCGTTTTGCCCTATTCTTCGCCGTCTTCGCCTCCGCGGCCTCCTCCCACTCCCGCTTTTTCTTCTCAAACTCAGTAAGCTCGGCTTCCTGTGCACACGAGTGGCAATGGGGAGTGAGCTTGGTTTAGACGATGCGGGGTCCGGGTGATCAGACGCACCTTCTGGGCCTGCTCTTCCATAAGCTTCAGTCGTTCGTACTCTCTCCGTCTGCTCGCTTTGTAGACGTGAAACTCGCCACTGCCTGCTCCCGCGCTGGAGCCTTGCACATTCTTCATCATCTCTCGTGGAGGCCGAATGGTCTTCTCCTTTGGCGCCGCAGGTATGTGGGCAGGCTTCGAGGGATCCTTAAGCAACTTCTCAAGCTGCGCCCTCTGCTTATCAAGTGGCGTGGATGCATGTCGAGAATGTGAGCCGCTAGGGGCGGGAGAAGGAGAGTGTGCAGGCGAGACAGACATGGTGGGTAGGAGGATGAAGTTGGTAGGCAAGCTCAAGCTAGAAATGCCACAACGCTCATCTCAGGCGCTAAGCCAGCGTCGGGCGCCTATGTCATATGTTCGGGAGGTCTCAGATCTCAACGCCAACCTCTTTCATAGCATAGGCGGTCGGCTGACCTCCTTGGTATAACTACAACACTATATGACTGTAGGAAACTAAATCCATAAGGTCAACCGTGTTATTACAAGATGCTACATATGACCATAGAATGCGATGAGCAAAACGAAAGCTACTGTACTGTGACCGAGGCGAGGCGTGGATGCTTTACCGAGGAGGTCATTACACGACTAGGGATTATGCGGTGAGCATGTGCGCAAGGACCAGAAGATAGAAGAACATACGAAGTACGGCATTGATGCAGCCGTCATTTTCGGGATTGTTCGTGATCTGCGCGTATTTGCCAAACACAACCTTTCCGCCAGCGGTGACCATGCCAAGTTCGGAGACGTTGACCTCGATGATGGTACCCTTGGTAAGCACACCGAGTTGAGTGTACATAGGGGACTGAGGGTTTTTCTTGACACCAAGAATCTGCAGTTGGAACGTTGCTTTGAGGTCGGCTGCACAATGATGAGGCGTTAAGAACGGCTAGATGAGGGAAAGCAGACGTTGACGTACGATGCGTGACATTTGCCTTCTTGTACCGCAATGCCATAGGACGAATGAACCTCTCCATCTTCACCGGTTTACGGGTGAAGCCCTCGCCAACGAACGTCGCTTTCGTCACCATCCGCTTCCACGCCTTCTTTTTGCTCTTCCCCGTCCGCATCACCTTGAACGCCTCGTCCTCCGCAATCCCCCTGACCTTCGGCAATGGGACCGCATACTTGGCAGCCTTGTCTTTCCGCTTCTCCTTGATCGCGGTCGACAGCGCCTTCGCATCCTTCTGACCTTCACGGTCGAGCAGGTACGTCGGCAGGGCGCCCTCAGGGGCGGACGAGGAGTCCTTCTGCTTGGCGTTGCGCTCGTCGTGAGCCTTGAGAGTCTTCTTCATCTGCACCTTCTCGGCATGGCGCTTGGCGTGGAGGATCTTCGCCTTCAGACCGAAGGCCTTTTGGGCGGTTGCAGATGCGCGATGAACGGAACGAGCCTCACGCTTGCGCCTTCAGTTAAGCAGTATTGTTAGCTGAGATAATATGAGAAGAGTGTAGGTCACGCACTTCCGTTCAAAGTAATCTAACCGGCGACCATGTCGCTTGATGTGCTCCTCGATATACTCGTTCTATAGGGGGAATGTGAGTGGGATAACCCTGAGGCATCTAAAGGAATCGTTTCACCTGAGGCTATATCACAACAGACGCATCAGCACTCTTTCTTGAAAAGGAATTCTACAAAACATACCATGGCAGACTGGGGACGAAGGAAAGGAACCTGACGGCAGAGAGCAGAAAGCAGGCGCTTACTCAAGACCACTGAAAAGTCTGCGCACGTGACAGGTGGCCCTCGTCCACGTCTCGCGCAGCCTACCTGTGTACTAAGACGTGGACCTGGTCTCATATCCCCCCCCCTCCTTAGCCCGACCTCGAAAACGACTGCGCTCTAGACGATATTGACGATGTGGCAAGAGAACAACGCAGCGTACGGCGCGTCCTCCTCGCAGTATTACCCCCAGCAGCCCGTCGCGCCTCAGCCTGGGGTACCACTCCAGTTCTACGCCCCTAGTCCGGTCGGGAGTACATTCTATTCTGGTTCGCGCTCGAGCTTGGACGGGCATGTAGGAGCACAAGGGTCAATACAACAGGGTGGCGGGGCGTACTCTGGGAACATCCAACCCACTGGAGGATGGTGGACAGCGTTCGGGACCGGAGGGTTTGAGGGTGAACCACCACTGCTAGAAGGTGTATACAGTAGCTTCTCTTTGGAAGGCATTCATGATCTCATTCAGGTGACCACAGAGCTCGGGATCAACTTCTCGCATATACGCGCTAAATCGCTCGCGGTGCTGAATCCTCTACGGCAAGTGGACGAGCACATCATGGACGACGCAGATCTTGCAGGACCCCTCTTATTCGTTTTCTGTTTCGGCACCTTCTTGCTATTTGTATGTCATCCCATGGGCTATCTCGTGTCGTCATGCTCACGTACGACGTCTGTTAATGTCACTAGTCCGGAAAGCCTCAATTCGGATACATCTACGGCGTCGGCGTGCTTGGTTCACTATCCATTTACACCCTCCTCAACCTTATGTCCGAAAAGGGCATCGATGCCTACCGTGTCGTCTCTGTTCTCGGTTACTGTCTTCTACCAATGGTTGCCGTTGGTGCCCTCAGCGTTGTCGTTACCCTCGAGTAAGTTTGTCTATGTGACTGTTGGGCCGAGCGTAGATTGACTTTACTTGTTAGTGGGACTGTAGGCTATTTGCTGTCAACGCTATCCATTCTGTGGTGCACATACGCTGCCTCAGGCATATTCACCGCCGTTTTGCGCATGTCAGATCAACGGTTCCTTCTTGCTTACCCCATTGGCTTGCTCTACGGATGTTTCGCCCTTCTCAGTGTATTCAATGTTGGCGTTGGCAACGGGTCAGCCAAGTAACATAATACCGTATTGCACTATTGAGTTATTTTTTGGAGGCTATCGGTCTGCGTGGAAAGCTCTGACTCGTCTGAACTGACAATTGGAACGTGGGTATTATAATGAATAGTGTTGTAGACTTAGTGCGATGAATAGAGTACAGATGTGGTATACCTCCGATTGACCATATGCAAGGAACTCCAAGTCCATGTATGTAGAATGTGTAACAACATCATCGACGTTACTAGCCCAGACCATCAAGGCGAATCCGTCGCGCTCCTCGTCAGCTGCTTACTGTACAACTTCAACAGCGCCTTCATTATCTCCTCCGTCGGCATCGTCGCGTACTCGTGCACATACTGGGGCAGGGAGTCCTCCAAGTTGAACCCGGCCTTCTTCATGAAGAACGGATGCATGACATCTGGCGTCGCCTCGCCCAGCTGCCGCATCGTCAAGCGCTCTATCCTGCGCGTTTGCGGCACATACACCAGGCCAGTCGTCTTCATTCCCTTTTGCGCGGATGACGATACGGCTCCTGAGGGTCCAGCGCTGCTGGAGGCGACCGGATCTGCCGCAGCGCCGAAGGTTGCGGCTGTCGGCGACATAATCTTCGAAGAGGGAGGAGGACTGATAGGCGACCTCCCGCTGAGTGCGGCCGCGGAAGTGCCATCCACAGACTTGGTGGACAGCGGAGGTAGTCTACTAGACATCGAGCCACGGGTACGTGAGCGAGTTCGGATGCCGGGGACTGACTCCTGAGATGCATCGTCGTCGCGATCCGTGGACGACAGGGGCGACGCCATCGAATCGTGCTTCTTCCGTAGGGATATGACTGTTTGTGCAGGTGTGCCCGCAGCCCCACTACGCGTCTCTGAGGACAGCTGGACTTGCTCCATCTCGCGGGCGAAGGTCTTCCGAAGGATAGTAAGCCACGAGTATAGAGACATGTTCAGCGAGATGTATATATCCTCGGCGTCCTTGGCGCCTGCTTTGGAGAAACTGGAGCTAAAGTCGTACTTGAGGACGCGCCGTGTCTCTCCGCCGTGGGATCCCTGCGTTTCTTCGGAACGCATCTGCATGTCCATGGCAGGAAGACCGAAGATGGTCGCCTCAGGTGATTTCGCGATGACTGTAGCGAGCCAATCACGGCTGTCTAGAGGTTGCTCCTTGGGCAACAGCCCGTGGTGGAGCTGGCTGATCTTCGAGATAGTGATTCCAGAGAAGAACAGCTCGAGATCACGCCGAGCGGGTTCCTCGCCTGACTGTATGAGTCGGTGCAGGCGGGCATGGACGTCTTGGCCGACGAACTGTGCTAGCTCAGGATCCCGCATCGAGCGCGGAAGGACGATCAGCCGTAGCAGCTTCAACTTGAGGCTCATCCGCTGCCCGATGGTGTACGAGAGACCAGCCTCGTTCTCCTTGAGTCGGGATTTTGCGGACTGGAACATAGCATTGGCGACTGCTGAAAGCGGATTGTCTGGCTTGGGAGCATTCACCAGACGGAACGCTCTGGATTCGCGAGCTGCACCTTCCCTTTGCGTCTCTAAGTTCATTCGGAACTTGTTCACATAGGTAACCAGCTTAGGCACGGTCCCAACGGTCATGATGGTGAGGACATCAGTCCCAGTGACGAGGAAATCGAGGGTGACGCGCCTCTCCTCTGCAGGAACGTCCGAGGACATTCGGGACCAATCATCGTAGATGTAGACGGATATTGGTTCAGCCCTACAAAGCAAGGTAAGTCACTTGTACATCCAGCATGCGACAAAATGCTCACCGGTACTGGATCAATTCATGATACTCTGAGTCCAACTTCACGGTGAACACTCCGCTCATCATTGAAAGGTCCAGCATTCGTCCACCAGCCTCCCTTGCGTACTCGTGGTCGTTCTGACGTATCGTCTGGAACTGGAAATCTGGCATCTCCGCATGTCCGGCCAAGTTGCCAGTGGCCACGACGGAGAAGTTGCCGATCGCTAGAGACAGCTCTGACAGTCTCTCGGTGATCTTCGTCCGCACAAGCGTGTCGTCGAGGGTAAGCTTGACCGCGCTGATAGACTGCCCCAGGTCGACATCTAGCTCGACTCGACGAAAGCGGATGAGCACAGCGGTAGTCAGCTCTTCCTTGATAGAGGATGTCGAAGTACTTGGGGTGGAAAGGGCATTCCACGCATTGGAACGCTCAAGGGGAGTCAAAGCTGGACCACTACTAAATGTAGGTATCCTGTCCAGCCACACTGCCCTGAAGCAGAGGACGTCCTGGAACCGGGAGAAGCGAAGGCCACCTGAGAACTCCGTGTCAAGCACTACGGATACGGAGCTCATAACGTGACCATCTCCTGGCTGGACCTTGGCGAACGCGATCGAGAAGTTGAGATTGCGAGCATCGAGCTTGACGCAGTCTTCGCTTAGGAAGCCATGCTTGAGTGATACCGTGAGACCGCCTACGGTGCCGGTGAAGGATACGCGTCGGGCTCCGGGAGCAATGTTGACAACGAATCCTCCGCTGTCCCAGTGAAGGCCAGCAATCACGTTTGCGTCCGGGCGGCAGGTGAGTAGTAGTTTCGACTGATCGATCCGAAGACTGAAGCTAATCTTCATACTCGAGACAGGTTCGGGAGCACGGGCAGGAAGTTCGTCCGAGGTAGGGTTCGCGATAGGTAAGAGTCCCTGCAGTTTCGGTCCCGGAGAGGCTAGAGGGTTCCGCGGACTAGTGCTCCGCATGTGTTCTTCGACCTTCGCCATGAGCTCGGTAAAGAACGGTAGGAGGGTCGGCCGAAGAGTGTTCTGACTCGAGTGGATAGTGCTCTTGAAGATCAAAGTTGATGGCTCCGCAGGCTGTCCTTTGCTGCCGAGTTTGTGCACAGCAGGAGTAGCTCGGAACTCAACCCACATTGATACTTCGGGTAGGTTGAACTCTTCCGGCCCACCAGAATCCTCCATGCGACCATAAAGCGAGGTGGATGGCGGACGACTACGAGGCTGGTGCGCAATTGGTTCTCTGGAGTGCATGCGAACCTTACCACTGGCAAAGGTCAGGGAAGCAAGCACATTCGAGGTGAGGAGTGCTCCATAGCGTTCTTCGGCATGTGCAGGCTCCAAGGGGGGAGTAGGTTCGCTGCTGGGTGAAGAGCGAGGTGCGCTATACGCCAGACGCTCGACGCGGTCTTTACCTCGACGGTAAACCTCAAGAAGGGAGGAGACGAAGTCGGGTATCGAAGAATCAACGTCTAGGATGAATCCACTGACTTCCGCCTCAATGGATGAGAGGCGAGAGTCCGCCACGCGTTCCGACCTCAGTTTAGCGGTCATTTCAGGATATATGAGCTTGTTCTTCGTCTTATGGTTCTCGCCGCAGAAATCAGCTGAATTGCCCTGCCGGAATCTGCATGACGTGAGACGATTGGAGCGCTTGGATACCAATTACTGACGTACCTCGAGACAAACTGGAAGGAGAAGCCCGTCATAGACGCCTGTCCACTCCGTCCGAGTTGCGTTCCGAACTCGATGGTCTTTACTGAAAAGAGGAAAGCACGGACGGTACTGTCATCCAGACTTCCCGAACGAGGCATCTGGAGGTCCCGAGCGAGTGTGAGCGGAAACGCCACGCCGACATTCCTGACTGTTAACGATATGTTGTACAGCTCGAGGAACGATTCCTCAGATGAAGCTTTCGGCTCTCCAATCTTGACATCCAGAGACTTCATGAGGCTTCTCGTCTTCTCCTTGAATTCTTCCAGCTCGGTCGCACGTTGTTCTTGTCGAATGAGCACATCGGCCTGTTTCAACTCAGAAAAATGTCAAATAAAGCAGCTGTTCAGGTACCATACCTGGAGGTGGTCAACGTAGTCAGCTAATTCGCCAATCGAGCTAGGTTGCATGACAGCGTGGATCTTGTTGACAGAAATTTGCAGATGCTGCACGCCTGTATCCGCCTGCCTGCCCATACCCGCTTCAATGTCCACTCGAACGAAAGCCGATCGACGTTCTCTATGAGCAGGCACACCGATCGAGGAGTCTTGGGCAGCAAGGGAGAGCGCCAGGTCGGACAGCCTGATATGCCAGAGAGAACGACTCATATTCCCGATGCCTCCACTGATGTCGTCACACTCTAGGAAGAGCGTGGATGTGAGTCCTTCCAGGCCTATGCGGAAACCCTTCATCTTGAACGAACCGCTGAACTTGAAGGGCTTCTTGTTAGCCTTGTCGGTAGGGAGTGAAGCGGGGGAAGTAGGCGGTGGCCTCTTCTGGCGTGTCTGTTCAATGATGTGGATGAGGTCATTGAAGTCTTGACCAGACTTCTGCTGAACAGATAGAAGTGTGTCCCAGTCAGAGGGTCGGACGGTAACATGAAAGAATTCGACCAGAGCCAAGCCCTCAAGACCACTGCTATCGTATTTGCCACGGAGCGTAATCGTGGGGAACGACAGTCTTATGCCAGAGTTCCGAGTCGGCTGCATTTCACTGCGGGACCGCGAGATATCGAAGACATGTGGCCCCATCTGGAGGCCGAAGAGATGGGCGCCTTTACGGCGGCTGTCGTGAAGCAGGAACGCAATCGTGTCGCGCACTTCCCAAGATAACCAAGTGCCGTGCATGACCCGGAGCGTAGCTCTGCAAGAAGCGATGGAGGTCTGGATCTGGAAGTTGAGCAGCTTGGGAGACTGCGACACTTGGGAGGACGAACGACTCGGAGCCTTCGACGAACTACCAAGTTCGTTTAACAGCCCGCGAACGGTCACCTCGATACCGGGCAAGTAGTCCGCACGCCAACCCTCGACAAATCGGTATAGCCGCAGAGCGCTTCGCGGCACGTCAAGATGCAGCTCGCCCAGGCCGGCAAGGGCGCGAAGGGTCAGATTACGGTGAATGTCCCGCTGCAGCATAACGTTGGTCCGCCCGTCTGCGAAGGTCAATGATGCGAGAACGCTTGCTTGCTGTGACGCCGGAGTAGCGGCCGAACAGGCTTCAAGGACCGCCTGGTTGAACATGAGGGAGTGATTTGTCGAGACCTCCCATACGAGGTGTTCTTGCGAAGGGGGATTGGCGAGCAGCGATGATGCGTAGGTGATGTCGGCATTCCTGAAGCGCACGATGAGCTGTTCCGCCGCCGCGGTGAAGGTGAAAGACCGCATCGCAAGAGTGCAGTCTACCGTGACCGACGGCGTTGACCTAGCAGGAGTGTACGGGGAATGAGCGGTAGAGGGGGGATTGCGTCCGGTATCAAGCGAACGATCATGCTTGAGTGCTGATTGCAAGGCAGCGCTATGTTGCCTGTAGTCTCGCAAGGCGATCTGCGTGAACTCGACCAGCTGTGGGTGGACTGTGGAAGATATGCAGTCGAGAGAGATGGACAGGGAGACGCGAAGTAAGGCACGACGCTCTCTATCCTTCGACAGCAGGTTAGGATGGCTCTTTCCAGGCGTCCATGTGATGGGTTGTACCAGGTCCCCCAAATGCTGGTGTATTGTGACGGTGATTGGACCAGCTACGAAGTTGCTTTCCGTACCCTCAGCGAAATGTCGCAAGGCTAGGCGCATCCCGTCTAAAGAGAACGACATCGTGTCATAGGGGAACTCCCAGAAAGGAGTCCGACGGGTTGCATCCGCTTCTCGACGACCACCAAGGAGTTCCTGTAGAAGAGTCTGCTGCGATAGGCTGGACGAGTCGTCGTCGCCCGCTAAATTGTACCATTGCGCCTGGAGGGTGTCGAGGACATTGTCGACGGATATGTCTGGTTGAGAGGTGTAGATGGTCTGACGCTCGCCCTCATCTAGGAAGCGGAGACAGCTTCGCAAGTATACCAAGAACTTGAATGTCGCATCCTTCCGCAATCTATCCGGAAGACCGTGTTGGATGAGGAATGAAGGCTGTATGGTAGATAGTGGGTCGACCACGGCTCTGTCATGCGAACTTTTGAGGACAGCATGAATGAGTTGGGGTTCCGTGATCACGACAGAGGTTGCCGAATGTTTCCGTGCCTCTACAATCCCTAACGACGCTTTCGCGAGGACGACAGACGTTGCGAAAAGATAGGCAGGAGCGGCATGGCCTATATCTGCAGAGATGACTCCGAAGGACACTGAGATATTGCGACGCATTATCGACGCGAAGCTTGGCCCGACAGCGATGTAGCACAGTTTGCCTTGATCCTGCCTGTATGAACCTCTAGAGGGCGCTTTCGACAGTAGAGCAGCCCGTATAGACGAGAACGCTCCAGAAATGTCATTTCGAGAGGGTTGGTTCGCGCCTGATGCAGTTCGCGCACGTAAGTGCAGCCCCTCCGTGATCAATTCGACCGCAGTGGCGCATGATTCGCCATGTTGTGCAGGCTTCTTGACACCGCGGGCCGTAGTCCCTAGTGGGGCGAGCGCATCCACTAGCTGCAATGAATAGACTTCCGCGATTGGGATGTGAATGTCGAATGTCGTAACAGCGCCTGGCGGACCAGGACGCGATTTGAACGCTTTGATGAATTGCATCGTGAGCACGTCAAACCGGAGCTCTGGGCTCAGCAGCTAAACACGAAGAAGGCCATCAACAAACAGTGGTTGTGACAAGGATACGTACGCACGTTAACATTGCAATCCTCTAGCAATTGGTTGAACACCGGTAAGATCAAGGGAGTCATCCACACACAGACGCCATGCTTCGAACGCGCGCGGAATATGGTCCTATCACAGTCTTCGGCATCGTCCTCGTCTACATCGGCCCAGGCAGCAGCAAATGCGGACGCAAGCACAGCATCACCAGTCAGTGGCTCATGGGTGACGTTGCGACCAGCCCGAGTGACATCCTAGAAAGCCTTTCTGTGAGCTGACGAACGGCGTACACTGGTTGGCGCTACTTACGCGTGTGCGAGTGAATGGTGACACATGCCAAAAGGACGGACGAGATATGAAGCGCCCTTCGTAATGTTTGCAATGGCCACTGTAGCGGTTGACCTGAAGCCAGGAGGGCCCCACTGAGGCCTCTGCAGGAATTGGGAGTGAGAATGTGGAATTCCAACGATATGCAACAGCCTACCGTCGAATGTGTCATCGTAGTCGGTACTGTAGTCCGTGGAGTCGGTGTCGTCCGATTCGTCGCCGCTTGTCAGATCTTGTTCGCCGTCACTGAGTACTTCAATGGTGATGTTGGCAGGACGAAGATCACTGGTATGTCCTGTAAGCGAGATGAAGACACCTTGAACGAATGTACTCACGCGACGCGAGCATCGCGCACGGCTTCTGGGAGGGGTTCTGTGTCTGATTCGGATAGATCTTCTCGCACTTGGGGAATAGGTATGGTCATATGGTCTTCAACTGTCTCTACCGAATATAACCTCGGGATTCGGATCTGCGGCAGGTAGAAGTCGCTGTCGAGGATCCCTCGACCTGTAAAGGAAGTGAGTTGCAACCAATGCGAACGATACAGGTCATACCCGGTCGCATGCGTCGAACGTTATTGGCTGGATCATCGAGAGAATACAAGATTTTTGCTCGCCCGGTGATCCCGTCCTGCGCGGCGACGAACTCCGCTTGCAGCTGGGCTGATTCTTGCCATCCAGGAGGCGACGAGTAAATGTCGATATCGACATCAACGTGAGCATCGGCCACTTCAATCCAACGGGCGCGGTCTTGCTTAGACGCGAGGAGCAGCTTGGCAGTCGCTTGAGGCAAGCGAATGCCCGTGACCTTGCGGAATGTCTTGCCAGCAAGATCGTTGGAGTCGAACCGCACCCCGTTCGGGAGCGTAAGTTCCATTGCAGCATTGTTGACAGACCACACGATATTCACTGCGTCTACGCGTACTTTCAAGAAAGTCACTGTAGAGGTGCTGAGCTACGAAACTGGATTATACTGGAGTAGATTGACTCACCATCTGGATCTGCAGGAATCGCGTATTCCTTCGCAGGCGAATTCAGAGGATCCGAGAAATTGAGACCAAAAGATGATCCAACCGTTGACAGGAGACGTGCCTCATAGGAGTTGAGAACCGCCTTCACGTCTCCGATATGAATCTCCCAGATGCAGACATAAGTCGAGGCGGCCGGACGATGCCCGAAGAGCCGGTTTGCAAGGATATCAAGGCCGTCGATGACAATCTTCTCCTTCTTGGTGCCGAAATGGGTTGGCGTAGAGAATAGAGAAGCGTTGTAGCAGTGCTCGTTGAGCCGTCCGGTGATAGGGTCAACGTTGAGCGACATCTCTGCTCTCCAGTCAGTCACGCGACGCCGCGGTACAGCTGTGAGGAGCATACCCATGTAATAGTCGTTCGTTCTCAGGTGGAGTTGCAAGGCCGGGAGGGAGAGCATCAAGCATGGCCCAAGGTCCTCAGGTGAGTTGTGGGCGTGCTCGATAGTGTATTTCTCGTATCCCGGGAAGCCAGCAGGGACAGCAATCAACGCGTTGTCCACCGCCAAGCTCACGGTGACTTGCATGGCATTTGACTGTCACGACGCCGTCAGCAGCTTCATTCTTGTGCGACCGATAGACGACACTAACCTGACCCTCCCGATATTGCAAGTGGATGGGATCCCCAAGTGGCTGACCCGCCTTACGCTTATCCAAGTACTCGGTGAGCGTAGAGAAGTGAGTAAACGATCCGAAGTAATTCTCTCGCAAAATCATGAGATATCGTATCGTCCATCCAAACGCCTTATAGACACCGTCTCGACCAGCAAACTCAAGTTTGAGTTGGTCCGCGTTTTCTGGTTTGACGTCGGCGAAGTAGCGATAGGAGCCGCTCATGTTCAACATGCCAAGGTGCCCGACCTGGTTTCGATCGGGAGTGGGGAAGAGGCTGAAGATGTTCCAACGGGGAAGAGAGAGGTCGACAAAGATGTCGGGAGCTTCAATCCAGAAGGAGACCGTGGATGCGTTTGGACGGTACTTCGTGAATGGCATATGTAGTCCGTGTGTGAAGTGAGTTCCACGCAGAGTGAGTATGGCTGTCCGACAGATCAGCGCTCAGCTCCCGTGAAGCCAAGCAATGGGATGCGACTCACCATTGTCCTCCTTGATGAGAGGCTTGTCGATGATGTTGTGATCGTTCACATAGAGGTTGATTGTGTAGTTGTGCATGTCGAGGTCAATGACGTATATCATCGGCGTGAAGAGACTGGGGTCGGTTGGCGGACCTGAGCTCCAGTCCTTCCCTAGATCAGTGATCATATTGATATGGTCCCGTAGCAAGTAGAAGCAAGGCTGCCGAAGAGAGATCGCGAAAGTCCATTGCCTCAAACCATTCCATTTGAGCGGGGTGGGGAGATGGCTTCGAATCTGCACGATACCTCAGCAAGCGTCTAGGTGGATGTATGTGCATGCTCTCAGTAGACACTTACGCGGCAGGACTCCGCGGTGAGCAAGCGGATGTCGTTCAGGCTTGACGTTACGGTGACTGTGTCCAGATGGACCTCGAGCATAGACAAATAGCCCTTAGAAGAGGCGATCATAGGAACGATGTAACTGATCGTTGAGCTGTCACCGGCGCGCAGATGTATGGACGCGGCCTCGCGTTTCCTGAGCTTATTCTTGACGTCAGCCTTGTCCCATTGCCAGTTCTGTTCGAATGTCGAATGAGCGATGGTACATCTTACTCCTCAGTTCCATGCTTGCCTTGGACGCTTCACGGAACGGAATGAGCAGCGAGACACCGTCCCTCAGCTCAATGAACACCTTCATCCCAGTCCACATTCGCATATCCCCGGGCTTCAACCGAGGAGTGGGCGTTGCGTTCGCATATGTGGGCGGGAAAAACGCATGCTGGAGTTGAATTCTGAAAGCAAGTCAACGAGGGAAGGAAATGTGATAGACGTCAATGCGCAGACGTACCGCTGGCGGTCCGCCCAGGGACCGTAACGGATAAATCCACCTCTGACGACGAGATCGATACCCCACTCGGGCGGAAGGTCACCGTTGCCGATATCGAACGGGTCGAGACTCTCGTCTTCGCCCTCCTGCCCTGCCGCCGGAGCCGGGACGATTCCTACAACGTCGGCGTAGTACAATAGCTCTAGCACCGGCGCTTCCAGGATCTTGCGGTCGATCGCATACTCCAGCGTCGCCAAGTCAGCGCCAGACGGAGTCTCCTCGTCCACGCTCTTCTGGTGTTTCCACCAGTTCCAGGTTGGCGGATGAGGCATAGACACACCATGATGCGAGGGCTTTGAGGAGGGGCTGATCGCAGACACCCACGCCCACACCTTCAACTCCTGCCAGATCCTCTGGAAGCTGTAGAACGAGAGGTACGACCTGCGGCGGAGGGGCGTACCTCCCGACCGGACGACGCGTTCGTGTATCGTGCGGCCAACCTCGACCATCGGGCTCGTATACCTCTCGTTCTCCACGTAGGACAGAGAGGGGTCGAGTAGCTTGATATTCAGGACCTGCTTGTAGAGGTCGTGTTTCGAACGTGCCTCCACGACGCCGTATGTGCCCTCGGCTCGACGGAACTCCGCAACGAGCAGGTTTGGTGTGGATGCATTCCCAATGGTGATAGCACCTTTGGTGGCTTCGATACTGATGGGGAGGAGGTCTTTGGGGTCGAGATTCGGCAGCTGACTCTGTACCCAGGACGCGGACCGCTTGACGAATGTTGGGGTATGCTTGTAAATGGAGGATACCAAGGATACAGGGGGACCAAGGATCGACGCTAAGGAATGATGTAAGTCGGACTGCGCGAGATGTCGGGGATTAAACGCATACAGTCATGTAAGACAGACGTCCTACTGAATACCTTCCGTACGGACGCGGCCCCATCCGGAACGGGAGTCGCAGCAGGCGTGCTAGGCATCTCTACATCCAACTGCGAGATGACGTTATCAAACGACGCGGTCCGGTTGTACATGAACCATTCGAGACCCTGCATGGAGATGTGCACCCTGCACGCGAGCGGCGAGCTGCTCTTGCCAGTCGTGTCCTCGCCGATGACGCGTGCATGGCTCAAGTCCTCCTCTTCTGCAGGTCTCCGCAGCCAGTATCTCCAGGAGAGCTGGACTTTGACGATACGGAACGTCTGGTTGCTCGAGTGGTAGCGGAGGTCCTTGATGAGTATACGCCCTGCAAGGGTGGAGAAGTGGATCGCCCCTGCAGATACCACATCCTGTAAGAAAGTTGCTTATGCAAGTCACGTACATATACGTACCAAACTCAAGCCATAGACTGGACTCTCCCTGGTTCCAGAGCGCAAGCCGAAGGATGAGGCTGAAGACGAAGGCGAAGAAGCGGTTCCAGAAGAAGAGGTAGAATATGGCGGACAGGAGTATGCAGATGCATACAACCAGCAATACGGCATTCAGCATGATGTCTCGAAGCCTAACAGTTCCGCGTTGGGTTCACTGAATACCAGTCCCAGTTCAAGACGGGATGGTAGGGATATCGGTCGCTACACTGGGGGCCAGAGCCTGCCTTGAATGGTCCAGAAGACCTGTCTGCAGCGCAAATGGTTTATGATGTTTGTCGCGCGATACTACAACCGGAAACAAGTAGGCCTGAAGGTAGAGATTTGGCAACCAAGGGCGAGACGGCAGCAGGGGAACCCGGAGCCATGGTTTGAAGCGCCCATCGAGGATGTACGGGCCGCAGGCGCCCAAAGGTAGGAGCGACGCTCCCTCAGCTCCTCTCCAAAGTCTGATCTGCATTGAATACGCTCATCCTTGCCTCGCGACGCTTTCTCTTGCGACAGGGTGGATAACTCTAACAACAATGAAGCAGGTCACAAAGACCACGACCACACCTCTCCGCCGCCTCGCTTTGCATTCCACCACTACCTGCTCTGCGGCAGCGTCGGCTTACGGAAAGTGCATTCTAGCGACATACACGGACGTCCAGAAGGATTCGTGCAAAGAGGCGTTCGACAAGTTCGGGCAATGCATGCGCGAAGCGGTGAGTTTTGTGCGGTCTCTTGCGTGTACCTCGCCTCACACCTTTCACGTCTTCAGATGAAACGGAAATGGTGAATTCCCATTAGTCGCCACGGAGGCGAGCGGCTACAATCATATCGTATCGGCACGCAACGAACCACTGTCACCACATTCTATAATGGTACATGCCCCGCGCGCACACGCCAGTGTCATGAACCATCCTCCCCTTCCTCTCTTAGTCCTCCAGGAACAGTTCTTTCCTCTCGCGGCTCGCCCGACTGTCGTTCCCTCGTCCTATCTGACTCACCTGCGGACTGGTCTGTCCGCTGATTGTCCGCAGCCCGAGCCGCGCGCTCACGCATCCTCGCCCGGGCGCGGGCAAGCATGTTAAGACTCTGGGATAACTGGAAGGAAGTGGTGTTAGGGAGGGGAAGGAGTTCGTCGCTGGGGTTGTTCTGTTGAGGCGGCGGAGGTGTTGGAGGGTTTCTTAGCCGTCGGAGAAGCGGGCCCAGTCGTATGTCGACGATATATTCGGGCTCGTCGTTATACGCGGGGGATGCCGAATCGAGCGGCTTGGTGTCTGGGTCGCCGAGGGTGAGTGATAATGCAGAACTTGGGGGTATAGGATGTGGGAGAAGCGGGTCTGAGGTATCAGGCGGCGAGGCGAGCACGAAGGACGTCTCGTATGCGATGATGATGAGGATGAATTCGAGGAACACGATGAGGGAGTCGAGAGAAAGCAGGAAAACTTTCGACGGTTTGTGGGCTATGCAAGGTGTTGGAGACGCACGCAGTGAGCTGCTATATGTTGACTTACCGAGGCCCACAAAGTCGAGGATGATCGACCTCCCCTCCGCCGGCCCCTTGAATATGTGGTTGTAGAAGCTCTGGAGGTTGACGAGGACGACGAGGATGAACCAGAATCGGAGGGACCGCTGCGAGTCAATGTCGCGTGGGCGAGAGAACTGGAACTGAGTTGCAATGCGACAGAGCAAAGGCCATAGTCTCGGAGAGAGGAGGAAGGAGACGGTGTGTAACTGGTAGAGGAGTGAACTGAGCTGCGGTATGAGCCGAATGTCAGCAGCCGCTCTAATGCGTCAGGGTGGAGGACTTACGGAGTGTATGATATGCTTTCGCTGGGCATGGCGCATAGGCATGTCATGTAAGTATATCGTCCGAGTCGTCGAGAAAGCAACGCACGTCGTGTGCGCTCGTGCATCGGGCGTACACACTCCAGGCGCACAAGGCACATGTGAGATTCTCGGGGTCCCTGTGAGGTTCTCGGGATCCCGGTTCCGGGGCAGGTAACGTGACTGTCACGAACGCGTTAGCAGTCACTGCGCGAGTGTCGCGTTTGCAGTGTGGTGGTTCCGCGCTGGTCGCTCAGCACGACGACGGGGAGCTTTACTAGCGGACTCGTACTCCATCCTGAAAGTCACGAAGGATCAAAACGAGGAGCACGCAGTCTTTCCCCGTCTCAACGTTGATCACATCGCGTCATGAAGGACCTCAAACAGACGAAACTCTCCTTCGCATCCGTACCGAGAAAAAGCGACGCTACCTCCCGCCCCTTGAGTGGGACGACCTCTGCGTCCAAGGACATCCCAGCTAAGGCCCAGCGACGGCAAGGCTCGCTGCTCACAAAGGCACGATCACACTCCGGACACGCTGCTTTGGAATGCGTTGAGATCCCTCCGCCTCCGAAACGGAGCTCCCGCTTGAAAGCTGCCTCCAACGCTTCTACTCCTCTCAAACCATCTTCCTCGAAGACACCCATATCGGCTCAGGCCATGGAGCCCTCGCTGAAGCGCAAGTTCTCTCCGCCCCCCGACGCGGACACCGAGTGCTCTCGAGAAGTCGTCCATCTGCCCCGCATTGCAGTCCAGCCAGCGTCCTCTCCCGCTACAGGTCAGTCTTCTCGCCAGCAGCGTCCTCTGATCCCAAAGGACAACAACTTGGTAGCCGGAGAAAACGACACAACTGTCCCATCTCGCAAGAAATTACGCCTTTCTTCCCCATCCTCTACTCTCACTCCACTCCCGCCAAGCTCACTCCACGACACGGAATCGGACGACATAGAGTTCGTCCCCACGAGTCAGTCGGACGAACAAGAGCTCACTTTGCCTAGGATCCCCGTCGCGAAAGATCCGGCTGCAGTCCAGGAGAGCGTCGTCAAGTGGCGAAAGGAGACCTTGGCCGGCCCACCCAGCCAAGCCGACTCTGTCCAGTCCGATCCCTTCTACTCTCCATTCTCTGAGCTCAGCGAGGTGTCGATGGACGTCGAATTTGACCCCTTCCCTCCCTCCGAAGACGTGCTCGAGATGCCTGCCTACCAGAAACGACCTAGGGGTCACGAACTGCAGTACCCGCATACACCGTGCTCATCTTTGGCCACGCCGGCATCCCGGCCCGAAACCTCCGCTCTGCAGCGCAGCTCGAGCTCAATCCTTGATGCGTCTCCGTCGGAGGCGTTCTGCTCGTTGACGCCGCCTCCCTCGAGCGTTACGGACATGCCCCTTGAGGAAGTTCCTCAGGTAGAGCCAATGGACACAGAGAGCAAGACTAGGCAGCTCATCGCGGACATCAAGGCGCGCGCATACGCTGCAGCGCATTCAAGCCCGGAGCAGTCCGCGATCGATGTGGGCTCGCTGAGTGACTCTGAGTCGGAAAGTAGCGGCGAAGAGGACTTTGCCACCCTCATTGAGAAGGCGAAAGCCAAGAGCAGGACGCAAGTGTGGGTCGCTGGATTCCCTAGTCTCATCGAGGCGCATATACTGACCTCCTGTTGCCCCGGCGCCAGTACACCAGCCAAGGCCATTGCGCCGACACCCACGCCTGAGGTTACACAAAGATACTACCTCCGCCGCAACTCGCCTTCCTCCAAACCAAAGGCGCGGCCTACCACTCCCCCACCCGAGGGGCGCAAGCCGTCCAAGAATCCCATCGAGGTATTCCTGCGCGAGAAGAAGCGCGAGGAGCGGAACGGCACCGGGATGGCCGCGGTCCGCGCGGCAGAGAAGGACCTTGCCAATTCCAAGTCCGAGGCCGAGCAGCTCTCCGAGATGGAGGACGAGGAGGACGGCTCGAGCAGCGACGAGGACTGGGAGCGTGGGCTGGACCTGCTGCGGGACCACCGCAAGAGCAAATCCAAGACGAGTTCGCCCGTCATCGGGCCGTCGGGCTCGCATAGGTCGTCGCGCCGAAGTCGGGCTGGGACCTACGATGAGGACGAGGAGACGACGGCTGTCGGAGACATTCTGGCCAAGGATATGAAGGAGAACTTGGCGAAGGCGCTTGCGAAGCAGAACGAGCAGCCTGTTGGGGTGCCTCTATGGAGTCCCGTGGATGCAGCTGAACGTGATGCGAGCATGGACATGGAGTTCAGCCTTATCATCCCTAGTGGTGATATCGACGTATCCGGAAACGCGATGTTGCAGCTCTTGATGCGCGCTACTAGGCAGAATGGTGCGTACCCGTCTTCGTTGTTGAGTATATGCACCCTCACGTTTCCCTCGAACGTAGATATCAAACAAGCATTTGCCCTCTTATCGTCAGGGCTTGTGGGGCTCCTTGCCATGGCGCAGTATTCACTCATTGTGCCGTGGCTGGCTGACGTAGGTATGCCTACTCACATTCCGCGTCCTGCTCACGAAACGTACTGACATCTGACATTTAGCCTTTTCGGATGGCGACTCATCGCTGCGCACCCTGGCATACACTCAGCTGATGCGTCTCGCCCCGCGAGCGGACTCTCGTCGGTCGGCACTAGACTTCTCATTTGTATTGCGCGTCTTGTGCCGTCTTGGGGCCTCCCCCACCGTTCTTGAAGAGCATGGGTGGTCAATACCTTCCGCACCGTTGTTAGGTGTACCCCTTCGTATAGAGGAGCGAGATGAGATGTGCTATCGTCTCGCTTCCCTTGTTAACTCCTACGCCGAGTACGTTCCTTGACCGCACATTCGTCGTGTATGTGGAATGACTTACACACGCTCCTAGGTCCTTTGCCACTGAGGAGCTCAGCGATGTCCTACTTGCCATGGTATTGATCGGAATGGACCCTACAACTCCAGAGGGCGTCCGAATCGACATCCGAAAGGCTTGTGACAGTCTTGAGCAAGCGATGGACCTTGCGCAGCAAGTGGAGCTCGACGCATGCACAAAGCTCGTCACCTTCGGGAAGATCCTGTCACCTCCCACCCAAGCACTTCTCATGTCCTTCATACCCGGGACTTCCGCCTCAACTGTCCGCATGGCGCGATGCGTGGCGCGGTCTCTGCTCCTGGATACCACGCCGTCTCCAGCAGAGTACCAAAAGAACCTCCCGGACCTGTTGCCGGTAGTCGATCTTTTGGTGCCAGAGCCCGGCTCTTGTAAATCGTTCGACGTCGTTGGCAACATGGGCAAGGAGGGTTACCACGATGACCTCACGTGCAAGTTGTTCATACTCGGCCGCGTTCTTTCTGACGTCGACGAATACACCTTGGCCGAGAAGCAGGTGGTTCCAAAGGCGCGGATGTCCGAGCTGGAGGAGGGCGCTGACGGGGAAAGGGTACAAGAGAAAGAGCCAGAGCAGAAGTTGACCCTCCTTCAGCAAGTCTCGAGGTGCCTTGACCTACTTCATGGCAAGATCGGTACGTCTTTGTTGCTATCTGCGGTTCTCGTGTACATGTCCTGATCACCTTGAGTTCCAGTGGACACTCGTGCTGCTCACCTCGATCGCTCCCGCGCAAAGGCCGTGATTCAGCGTCTTTCGTTCCGCGTGCACTATCAGCGTGCAGCCACTCTAAAGGCCGGTACGGGCGACAAGTCGGATCTTCGCAGATACTTCCTCAAGTCCTCCTGAGGGCCTGTGCAGCGCGCTATGTCTCGATCTGCCATCATTCACTCCTTTTTATCTGGTTCTCGGATGATGCCATGCAGGCAATTGTAATCGTGTTTTGTTCTTCTCCTACACTCGCAACGCGCCTAGATTACACAGTATCCCCCACACTGAATATCCCGCTAGAATATTGCGTTCACAACGCTTAATATCTTAGCGTATACCTGACTTGCTAGTGACACAGCCTATTCTTATCGTTTCTGCTTTGTTATGTGCCTGTTTGTAGTTCCGCTGGCTGTCCTTCGCTCTCCGTAGTTCGCATATGTATCGCACGGCGAGCATGTTGTCGGGACCTTCAAGAAACTCATTACATACTTTCAAAGCCGCAGTGGCTTGGCACAAGCAGTGTAATGGCTTGATGCACCGAAGCCTTGCGTTGCGACGAGCGACTGGTGTTCATCGGAATCGTTCAAGGCTTCTGATGCGTCCAGCGCCGTTATAAGGCCTATGTAGTCACTAGTGTGATCGGTATCCGGAAAGTTGCCACCGACTCTTCGCCCACGTTGGATCTGGGCCGGTACGCCGGCAGCCCGTCCGAACCGCCGCTGGCGGCTGAACAGCGTATACAGAAGCCGCAGGTCCGCAGCTGAGAGTAGTACAGTCTCAAAGAGTTATGTAGTTCGTATAACCTGAGCTGACTATCACCATTGGGTACAGTCAGGGACCAATATCTATAAGTTAACCTCGACTCTAGATCACCCAATCTGACGCCATCGTGGAGGAAGTGTGTGAATTCTGATCGCGCCGCATGCAAGGAGGTGCTACGTTGATGCAGTACTTGTGGACCCTCGCTGCGACCGCCAACTTCCAATGGACTCTGTCGCCCGCAAGGGGATGCAGACTGGACTTCCGGCTCTAATGGCGCCTCGCGTGGTGAAGGGCAAGAGCAGCATTGGACGCTCTCTCCTTGGTTTTCTTCTCCTCTTGGCGACTAGTTCCACTCTTTACCTCTCTTCAAGGCTTTTCAGCTTTCAAGATCGAGGCGTGGTCGTTCCTCTAGACGCGGAGTCTCTTCTAGCCAAGTGTCGCTCCTTGCACGTCAAACCTGGACCACATGTCGACTTTCACTCTCGTGCTCGGTCCGACAGGTATCAACCCGGCACGAAGGCCGTTTACATCCGCAATGCTACGATCTGGTCCGGCGATAGCAACGGCAAGGAAGTCTTGCACGGGGATGTCTTCCTTGATGACGGACTCATTAAAGCCACTGGGGACGTTCCGAATGAGCTATTAGCTAACATTGGCGATGTGGTTGTGGTTGACGCGCAAGGGTAGGCCCGCTGTCTGCCAACGTGTCCGCTGGCATGCTGACGATCTTTCATCAGTGCTTGGCTTACCCCCGGGTTGGTTTTCCCGTGCTTCACAGAGAGCCTGGGAGGCTGATATCGGACAGTATCGTTGATCTCCATTCTCATCTCGGAGGATCGACGCCTGCTCTCCGTGGCTCCGACGATGACAATTCGTATAATGGACCAATAACTCCTTGGCTGCGACGCCTCGATGGCCTCAATACTCATGACCTCGGTATGTAGCTCTGTGGGCGGTTCAATTCAGCTGAACGCCCCTAAGGCGCAATCAGGTTATGAGAGTTCCATCTCTGGTGGGGTGACTACGTCCCTGGTTCTCCCTGGTTCGCTCAATGCCATTGGTAGGCTTACCTTCAGTATATGTGAATCAGTATTAAGTTGACTGTTCCTCCTGTAGGCGGACAGGGATTAGTCATGAAGTTGCGGCCGACGAAGGAGCGCTCGCCTACTTCTATGCTGCTTGACCCGTACCTGGGGTTCAATGGCACAGACCATTCCCCTGAGGCCGCTCGTCATTGGGGGCATATGAAGTCGGCTTCTATTATGTCTGATGAGAAGATCGATCCGCTGATCACTACTCACTCATAGACACGCCTGTGGTAAGCGAGAACCTATGCTCAAGACACCTGGGTACTCAGTAGACTCTTTGGAAAGGCGAGAACCCTAAATATTATAGGGATACTCGTATGGACTCTGTCTGGCTGACTCGCCAAGCGTATGTGTATTTCTGTCCTCATGTGAAATGTCTTTTCAAATGGTGACGCCACGGTCAGATACGATACTGCTCGGAGCATCAAAGTTGCCCAGGATGACTATTGTGAGAAGGCTCTATCAGGCGACTGGAGCTCTTTGCGTTCCCGGCAGTTCCCGGACAGCTTGCAGTGGCAGCCCCTTATCGACGTACTTCGAGGCAAAATCAAGGTAGAGCCACTCATACATATATCCTCTGCAGAACCATGCCTCATAGAGTGATTAGGTGCAAACTCATTGCTACGAGGCAACTGACATCGACAACTTCGTCCGCGTCAGTCTGAAACAGGTTATGTATCAATTCGGTGTTGATCAGGGTTGAATCCCATTCCAGTTATCCAACGAATTCCAATTCGAAGTTGCGGCCTTCCACCATGCTCATGAGGCCTGGTTGATTCCCGATGTGCTCAGGCGCGCCTATGGAAGTGCGTCCCTCCCTTTTATCTGCTCGGTGTCAAGACAAAGTGACCGCAACATGACATTGCAGAGAAGCCCCCTGCGCTCGCTATCTTTTCGACATTTGCAAGGTACATGAGCTACCCTTACAAGCGAATACAACGAGATGTTCATTTCCTTTCGTCAGGTATAAGCGTGAGGCTTATCTGCATTCCGAGTTTGCTCCCCGGGTGCTTGCCGACGAGGGATTCGATGTTGTCATGAAGGCAAGTCAGCGTCCTCGAGGCTCCCCGCTGGCTGTTCTCAATGGCAATCACACAGTCGGACCACTCTGCCATCCCCTCTCGTAATCTGCTTGCTGAGGCTGCGATGGCGCACTACTGGGGTCTACCTGAGAACATCGCCTTAGCTTCCGTCATCAGCACTCCAGCAAGGATCCTTGGCCTCGATCACCGCATCGGATTCATCAGAGAAGGTCAGGCAGAAATGCTTCTGCCTTGTTTCAGAAACTGATGCAGGGGGTGTAGGCTATGACGCAGGTACTGTTCCTGTCACATCAAAATGGTCTCTCCTCTCCACTCATACTCATGATCCGGGAAGATGTTGTCCTGTGGGACAGCCATCCGCTTTCTCTGGGGGCGACGCCTACTCAGGTCATCATCGATGGCATTCTCCAGATCTCTCATCCGCACACAGTGGTCAAACCCGCCTCGCATCAGCAGGCCCCCTCTGCGCCGAACTGGGACCGCGAGACTGCGCAGGCCCTCGAGTACAATGGCCTACCACCTCTTGAGCCGAGACATCGCGACCAGTCTGTTATCTTCACCAACGTCTCCCACTTCTGGTCGCCAACAGCGGAATCTGTTATCGATCTCCTGGCAGAATCAGCGGGGGCCAACTCTCAGCCGTCTGGCATCGTGGTCGTACAGGGCGGTAGAGTAGTATGCTTCGGCCGCAACTCTTCATGCGATGTGTATCATTCCCTTCCCGATGCAGAGACCATCAGCCTACAGGGAGGCGCGATCCAGCCTGCACTCGTAGCTTACGGCACAGGTCTGGGGCTGACGGAGATCGCATACGAAGCCTCCACGTCAGATGGATATATCACAGACCCATTGGACAGCCAGCCGCCTCTGTTTGGTCCTGGGGGGTACATCGCGAAGGCCGTGGACGGTCTCCAGTTTGGTACGCGTGATGCATTGCTCGCATACCGTGCGGGAGTCACCGTCAGCGTCACCTCCCCGTCGCATCAGTCCTGGCTCAGTGGGTTGAGCACAGCATTCTCGCTCGGGGCACCGCACAAGCTTGACCGCGGGGCCGTTGTCAGTGACGTCGTTGCTGTTCACGTCTCGCTTTCCCATGGGGATTCCGAGCCGAGCGTGAGCACCAAAATTGGCGCGTTGAGGCGGTTGTTGACACAGGAAGTCAAAGGCGATGTAGGAGAGTGGTTCCAGAAGGTGGCGAACGTGCGTTTTACCCTGTCGAAATCCTCACGTGGTGTCAGGCTGCTGAATATACGGCATAGGGATCGCTGCCGCTGATCATCAATGTCGGAAGTGCGGACATCATCGCTACTCTAGTGTCGTTGAAAAAAGAGGTCGAAACCAAGACGGGTACTCCGTTCACACTTACTATAGCGGGTGCTACGGAGGCCCATCTAGTTGCGGATGAGCTCGCAGAAGCGAGGATTGGCGTTATTGTGACCCCAACTAGATCCTATGTACGTATACGTGCCCCATACACTGTTGTATAGCTTCTGACCTCGTTTCTAGCCCTATACTTGGGACGAGAGACGAACGTCAGCGACGGGATTCCTTTTTGCATTTTGCTGCTTCTGACTTGTACTTCAGGCTACCTGGACCTCCGATGAGCGCAGACAGTCTCATTGGATACCTGGTCAAACGCGGTATCACCGTCGGCGTTGGTCCCCGCGGTATCGGGGCGCTCGGTCATCCTGGAGTACCCGAGATGGCCAACTCTCGCGCACGTAATCTGCGATTCGACATTGGAGAGGTACGACTCCATTCGGAACTTCTCCGCTCATGCCCTCACTTCTACTCTCAATCAAGGCAATGCTAGATTCAGGAGTCCTATCGAAAGAAGCAGCGCTTGCCTTGGCGACTGTGAACCTAGAAAAGCTCTTAGGCCTCGATTACCATGGCCAGCAGCATGATTTGGTTGCCACAGCCAACGGCGGTCTCCTAGGCTACGAAGGAAAGGTCTTAGCAGTCATTTCGCCTAGACGCGAGCTCGTGGATGTCTTCTCTACTGACGATGTGGTAGCTCCTGTAAAATGAGATCACCTGAAGATGTAGATCGGTGAGCATGATTCGGAACAATACAGCCGTACCACAACCGTAACAGGACTTGCACCCATGGGATGTCTGAGTGTATACCTATGAGATGATCCTATCAGGCCAGCAGGCAGTGCGGATCTCTCGTCCCCCAAAGCTTCAGCTGCTGATAAACTGGATGACCTACCTCTGCTTCTGAAACATCTTGACAGCACAGCGCGGCCTGGGAATATCATTGACTGCCACAGTTGTGTTCATCACGAAGCGTCGCGACATGAACGGCGCATCTGCCTTCGTTGCCAGACTACAAACTGACTGTTCTCATGCCACATGCAGTACACCGCTCAGGTATAAAGTCAGACATGTTACAATCATACCACGCTATAATGATAACCACCTCTTGGGATGTCTTCGCCAAGTAACTCTTCAGTCTGGATCACAGATGTCTCTTCTGCCCCCTTCTTGGACTCAATGCTGAAGGCGAGTAAAGCGATGCGTGAATTTCTCCTCGTATCGTGCAACTGACTTGCTTGTGTCGTCAAATCTCTCTAGTCCTCTGAAGTCGACAATTACTCCGCATCCGAATATGACGATGTTTCCACGTTGGTTGGAGTGCGTCGTTTCTTCTTTCACGATCTCAAACGACCATGCTTATGTACTCTCACTCTATCAAGGATCGTTCAGATGTCCTGGTCGATCCATCGGACCAAGCCGAATCTCTTCCGCACCCTGCATCATTTGACTGTCTTGGTGGTGTGTTTTCAATTACCTCACCTCTCAGCTGTAACTTCTAAGAACGAGATCCATCTCATACACACCTTCTGGCGCCGATTCGGAAATAGACTCTAGCTCGACTACGCCACACGATGATGGCGATGGAGATCTCGGAGCATTTGTCGAGTTCGAGTTGCAAGATGTTTCCCCCAAAGGTGTATCGGACGCCAGCTCTCTTCGCTCCCCGGAGGAATACGATAATTCCATCTCAAGCGGGCGTCAGTCCAGCGCGACACTACGCGACGATGAGGTCTGCGAATGCTATACCAGACGGATCAAGGGGTGGAGCTTCCGGAAGGAAATGACAGACGGCTCCAACGTCAACACTGTCCCGCCTAGTATACACGAGCTTTGGCGACACCAGTACTTGGGCAGGTTCAAAGTTGAGAAGCGGTGGAGAGAAGGTAAGCCACGAAGTCTTATAGTATACGCGTGATACACTCACTGGCGAGTTGTACATACCCTTAGGACCTTCGAAAGCACTCACCCAGCGCATCAATGTCCGTCAGATCGCCAACCCGCTCCCGCGCGGGAACACGAAAGACGGTCCACACTCCGTCATCCATAGGCATTCCCGAGTTGTCGCATTCTCTATCTTCCGCAAATACGGTCTCTTTGAACGTGCGCACAAGCCTGGTGGGACGTCGTTCCATGTGCACTCCAGCCAGGCCATCTTGCTTGCGACGACGGACGTACAGGCGAAGGGCACAGGCAGGTCGAGTCAACCTGGTGTATCAGACTCAATCAACCAGGCTGCCAGCCCCGGTGGCTTCATTTTGAACGGCGCAAGGCGAGCTGCGATCAGCCGAATCATGGAGGCAGAGAGTCCAATACGACGGCCGTACACGACGTCCCCAATCTCTATGTCGACCTCTCCCACCGTCGCTTCTCCACCGGACACATCTACGGACTCCGCTACCTTTACAATCGCAGCGTCTGGCGGTACAATCTGTCCCCGGCTCACTCTCGATGCGTCGATTACTCCTTATGATGGGCTTCCGCCACCAGTGACGCAAAATGGTCTCGGTGAAGAGGGCATGGATCTCGAGGACAGCAAGACACGACGCTCGAGGACGTCGCATGCTGAGGCTTTTGCGACCCTTGGCTTGGAAAGCATCGCATCTATCCGTCGGAGCTCTAGAAACTACGTCGAGCACGAGCACTCCGGTGGAGGCGGGATCCTAGAGAGGATCGCACGCCGTATACGAGGCAGCAATTTCGGCGCCAGGGGCAAACCTGTAGGCCCCTTACCGTATCCGCTCTTCCGCTCTACACTGCCGCCTTGGGTCACTCTAGCGCCTCGCTCCAAGCAGGAGGAACGCGAGAGATTCCTCCGAAACCTCAACGAAATTGTCAAGGGCGTCGATTTGTTCCGGCATATTCCTGCCGACGCATTCCGGATGCTGCTCCCCCTCTGGCCCTGCGACACAGATGAGTTCTCTACACTCGCTAGAGTGGACGGCTCCAAGTACATTCGACCCGTCGAGGAGCGCCAGTATCTCATCGTTTATTACGTGCCCTTCGACGACTGCGGGGACAAGGGAACACAAGGTGACACTAACAGCAAACTCCCTCGGGCCGATTCGCTAACGATCCCTACTTTCATAGCGTCAGAGACGAAGAGGATCCCAAGGTCTGCATTTCGGGTGTGCGCTCGCCTAGTCTCCCGTGAGGACTTCCTCGGAACCGACGTTCGTCTGCCGAGCGAAGGTTTAGCAATCACAGGCCCTATGGCCGAAGCTATGGCAGCTCTTCCTCCCGCTTCGATCCGTGAGCAGCACCCTGGCGACGTTGTCATTGGGGTGTGCTCCGGGAAAGAGAAGGAAGTCGAGTTCCTTCCGGAGGGTCTTGTCTCCATTGGTCTCGCCATGGCGATAGAGGAAAATCGACCGCCTCGGCCGCCGTTGCCCCTGCATGAAGAGGGGATGATGGACGAGGTTAGCCCAACTTACACGCTCACGCCCATCGGACGCGCGGCGGTCGAGATGGCTTGGCTAGGTTGCCTTGCAATCACGTTCTTGGACGTTCCTTCCCCTCAGGCTGTGACAACTTGAAGGCGGTGCATGCACGTCACGACGGACTCTCTGACATGGCGCGTTCTGACAATCAATCGCCCCCTACGGTGTACAATGTCCTGGGCCTTGGAACAGCGCTTGTCGTGCGGTCTCTTTCCATACAAGACAATCTACTCTCAGGTACTCACGCCCACCCAGTACCGTATACGTATGCTTCGACTGTGCTTCACGTAGTAATGATACTCACTGTTCACGAACATCCCGCCTCGTCCCTTCTCCCCATCCTCACACTTCTGCAATATCGAGTTCGGGTTTGAGACCCATCATGGCCTGAGCCTTGACTGCTATCAACATCTATCTTCGAACGCCTGTTTTCCGTTTGGTCGCCTGCATGTATAGGGGTTGTTTATGAAGCAGAGGCGGGCAGGCGGTGGGTGCAGCACAATTGAGGAACAATTAGAGATCTGCGTATCAAGTAGGGCGTCCATCCGCTTCAAGGTGTAACTGAATCTTCTGCTTGCGCAAAGGCGACTCGTTTTGCTCAGAAAATCGGTTGAGGATGTCGAAACAAGTGTAAGATTAAGAGTCTCAGATGTCAGAGCGATGCGTCAGGAAGAGAGCGCGGACTCGGGGTTTTGCAAAATTTCCGAATCTTGCAAACCCCCAGCCTGGCAAGGGATGCTGCCAGACTTCGGACTCACCAGATGGTCGAAATACTTCGAGGCTACAAATGTCCCTTGGCGCATGGCAAGTAGACGAAGGCCGACTGACAAGCGGTTCGGGAAGCGCCACACGGCAACAGCCGACAGCTACATACACCTCTTATGCATTTGTGCAGCGTTACTCTCTCTCTTCCGTTCGCTGACTTTTCATCTCTGAACGTCCTATTCAGCTGCAAACTCAGATCTTCCATCAGCGTAGTGTTGACGTAGCGGGGAGGATATTCCACGGTGAGAACATTCGCGAAGATGCGAAATTCGGGGCGACCACTAACTATAGCGGGTTGGGCGTGGGCGGCTGCACAGCTCGCTCGACCCTCACACCTCTCTCCACTCAATACCCAGGGCTGGGCCCGTCTTTCCGATCCTCTTTCCAAGACCGAGCTCGCTGTCTCACGTCCACCATGCTCCCCTCTGCGCTCACGATCCTCACTCTCTTCGCCGCGGCGGCGCCCTCATGGTCTCAACAAATAGCTGACGCGCCGACTCTGGCTTCTCTCTACTCCCTCTCGACATCCACGTCCGTCCCCTTCCCCACAGCAACACTCTCCAACTCTGATGCGCAATCCTTCATTGTCCAGGGCTGGTCGCTCAGCAAGGGCAAGATCCAGCAGGGCGGCGGAAACATCGCGTTCGTGAACGACCCTTTCCCAAACAACCCCGCCCCGTCCTCCACATCCAACACCACCGGACCAGTACTCCAGGTGAAGTACCCTGCAGGCCAGGTCGGTAGCGAGACCAGCGGAATGCAACTATACTCGCTGTGGAACACCTCGGATGGGTCCTCGTTCCAGAGCGTGCTCGTCACGTACGAGGTCGCCTTCGACTCCAACTTCGACTTCGTGAAGGGCGGCAAGCTCCCGGGTCTCAGGGGTGGTCCAGATCCCGACGGCTGCTCGGGGGGCTCTGCGGCGAACGGCACCAATTGTTTCAGTACGCGTGTCATGTGGCGGACGAATGCGGCTGGCGAAGGTGCGTCCCTCTCTCCTAGGTTGCGCTTCCCGTCCCCTACCAATCGTAGCGGTCGGGCCTTGTTGCCAAGGCTCTTGTCGTCTTGTTTCGTAAGAGCCAGACGTGATTCATTTCGTTATATCTAACTTGGTCTTTTGCTTTCCACCGCGTAGTATATGCATATGTCCCAACGCCGAACAACATATGCTCGAATTCGGCCATCCGTTGCAACTCCGACGGGTTTGGCACAAGTATAGATCGCGGCTCGTTCGCATTCGTTCCCGGCCAGTATGTCGAATCAGTCGCTAGACAACCATCGAATACCTGACTGACGCATTTGTTGTCTCTAGGTGGAATCGCGTAACGATGCTCGTGCGTCTTAACCAACCTGTGGACACAGCAAATGGAGAGGTCACGCTCTAGTACGCGACCTTCCTTCTCGAGACTTTCCTTGTCTTGTTCTCAACTCCTGACTGTCCAGCTACAACAATGTCAAGGCCCTCGACCAGCAAGCGCTGCAATATCGGAGCGCGTCCAGCCTTACAATCGGCGGTCTCTACTTCTCCACATTCTTCGGCGGCAGCGACTCCTCATGGGCACCCCCGTCCGATGTCAACGCATACTTCCGCAACATACAGCTTTATGGAAGCTCCTCACCGTCGAACCTGACCGGCTCGAAGGTCAGCGGCGCCGCAGCCCAACGGCCGAGTTCCTTGGCGGCGTCTGCGTGGTCCGCGGCAGCGTTCGTGCTCGCAAGCGCAGTGTTTGGCTTGTTGTTTTAGCGGAGCAACAATGGTTGCGCATGAATGGACGTCGGTAATACCAATGCCTGTGCCTGCGCCGGCTTCTGTTACGCATTATTGCCTGTAACATCTCGCCCCGCTGGATGTCACGGAGTGGCCTGGACTAGTAGATGAATTGTCACGGAACAATTTGCAATGTTTCATCGCTCTCGCCTGCATATCATAGTGTATTATCCATTATTACAGCTTCTTCTGACACTTGTGGGTACGGCGGCGTCGTTGAACGTTAACGAGGGCTCGGTCACCTCGGAGCACAGGCCCATCCCGCTAAACGTTGTTTGGCTTTGTTAGGATCCAAAGCCATCGCTTTTCAGCCCATGCTTGCAAGCGCCCGATGTGTTCCACTGTTTCTTGACAACGTACATGCTACGTCACGAAGTCCATATGGAAGTGCTAGTGCTTCTGTATCCGACGAACTTGAATCGATTATGAAGGGTGCGTCTATTCATCAGTCTAACAGTGATCATGGAAGGAGGTGATTTTGCTGCACTTCTCTTGCGATTTCGCCCTCTGACTGTCTCGTTCCTTGTCTAGAATCGAATCGCTACTGTAGAGGGCAAGGCTGATTGTAAATTAGTCGCAAGTTGTGATCATTTAAGTTCTTCAATTGAGAGTGCAATGGTCCATGTCTAATATCGCTTTAAACTCTCGGCGCGCCACACCGGTGAGAGCCGAATCGACGCAGGTGCGCCAAGCACCTCCTATAAATACTTCTTTCGGAACGTTCTGACTAGTGTATCGCGTGAAGTTGTTGCCTTCGTGGTCTGACGATCTCTGCCAATAGGTTATTACAAGTCATCTTCAGTCTCCGCCCGGTGACATTGTTCAGGCCTGTTCTCCCTGCATGATCTTCTAGCTCAAGAAAAATCCTGCCTGTGTGCCACCAAAGTCACGCGGCTCTTTCTCTGGGAACGCTCCATAGTTGGATTCCGGAATCCCGGGTACCGTCACAACCCGGTCGCGGTCACACGCGAAGTTGGAGGTCCGCTATATACTAACCTGCAGGACCACCCCACCCTCGCACAACACTCTGTCCGGAAACTCTCACAAATGTGATCGCGGGATACGTGGGGCCACCACCGGAGATAGCGCGTTCATGGTCGGCAGCGTCGGGGCGAACTTCACAGGGTACTGCATAGCGCTCGGACAACAGTCATCTCAGTCGCTTCGAAAGCGCGATCGGGATTCCGCTCGGACACGCCTGCAGCATCTGCTGAGGCCCTACAAGTCGCATAGTCAAAGCCACGGCAGGTCAGCGGCATGCCGTGTACCCTTAGTCAGTGCGGTTCGCTGTGAACTCTAACTTCGAAGGGACTCCTCTATGCATAGCGATGCCATAATGAGCGCGACTGCTTTGGACCGACCTCCAGCAAGGCGCGCGGTGGGAAGCTGGTATATAAGGTGGCCTGTGCTCCGGGTAAGTGCCCCACAATCGTCTGAAATTACCCATTCACCTCTTCGCCTCCCCACAGCGCATCTTAGCATACCAGTAACAGAATATGGCACCATTCTGGGTCCCGGCCGCGGCACCTCCCACCAATCTCGGCCGCTACCGCCAACTCGCCCCACTCGCCGGCGTACATGTTTCCCCGCTCCAGCTCGGCGCGATGAGCATCGGCGATAAGTGGGGGCCGCTGGGTTTCGGCGCGATGGACAAGGCGTCGAGCTTCAAGCTGCTCGATGCCTTTTACGAGAAAGGGGGCAACTTCATCGACACGGCAAACACCTACCAGGATGAGTCCTCTGAGGAGTTCATCGGCGAGTGGATGGAGAAGCGCGGAATCCGTGACCAGATGGTCATTGCTACGAAGGTCAGCATCTTCTCCATTGTCGCAAGTAGCGAATCGGCATTGGTGCTGAGCTATCGACTGCATGCAGTACTCGACGAACTGGAAACGCGCTGCTACGGATATCGCGCAGAAGGTGCACTACGCCGGTAACAACCTCAAGTCGATGCATATCTCCCTAGAAGCATCCCTCAAAAAGCTCCGTACGAACTATATCGACATCTTCTACGTTCATTGGGTTCGTGATCTGTGTAGACTGCTCATAGACCTGTGTTGACTTATGACGTCATGGTTAGTGGGACTGGGATACGTCTGTCGAGGAAGTCATGAACGGCCTTCACAACCTCGTTGTCTCAGGCAAGGTGCTATACTTGGTACGCACTCTTCCTCTCTCCCCGTGCTCGAAACCTAAGTTCGTTCTAGGGTATCTCGGACACTCCCGCCTGGATCGTGTCGAAGGCGAACACGTACGCCCGCATGGCTGGAAAGACGCCGTTCGTCATCTACCAGGGAGCATGGAGCATTCTTCAGCGAGATTTCGAGCGGGACATCATCCCTATGGCGAGGGCCGAGGGTCGGTCACATCACTTGGGTTCATAAACCCACGGCGAGGGCTCACCTCTATCATTCAGGTCTGGCTTTGGCGCCCTGGAATGTACTCGCAGGTGGACGCATCCGTACTGACGAGGAAGAGGAACGCCGCCGTCAGACGGGAGAGAACGGTACGTGCTGGCCTTCATCTGGTGCGGACGATCGCTAACTGCATATACGGCGTCGCACAGGTCGCACTGCCAATAGACCGGACTGGCAACGCACGCCGGACGAGCGTAAGATGTGCAAGGCGCTGGAGGAGGTCGCCAAGCAGGTCGGCGCCAAGAGCATCCAAGCCGGTAAGTCCGCCAGTGCATCGTCAAGGGAAAGATACAGCTAATGAAGCAACTGTATATATCAGTGGCGATTGCCTACGTGATGCAGAAGACCCCATACGTCTTCCCGATCGTCGGCGGACGCAAGGTAGAGCAGCTCGAGGACAACATCGAGGGTCTGAACATCGCCCTGTCGGAGGAGCAGATCAAGTACCTGGAGGGCGTCCTTTCATTCGACGCTGGCTTCCCTCACAACTTCGTGGTGAGTAAGGGTCGTAGCTTGTATGCGGAGAGACGTTGACACAGCTGCGTATAGGGCGATGGGTCGCATTACATCCTTCTCCAGAGCTCTGCTGCCACCCTCGAGAAGTGGCCCCGCCAGCAGGCCATTCGTCCTTCCACGTAGGCGTGGACCACTCGAGGGAGACAGCAGCTATAGCTCAGCTTCGGCAATCAGTTCGTCCAAGAAGCCAATGTTTTGTACTAGACAGGCCTAGTTACATGGATCGATGAGACGGCCTGAATAGATTCGCGATACCGCCTAGGTAGAGGTTGTGTGGGGGTGACCGGGGCCACCGTGACAGTCACGTGATGGTTCACCTGTCTTTCCGTAGCAGTCTTACATTCTGCTCGTGCGGCATCGACTCTGGTTATGTTAAACCACTCTACTATCCTGCACATTGACTCTCTGGGTTTGTACACGGAGATTGCAGTCAGCCCCATGCTACAAGCCTTGCCAATGTATGTGTTCATACTTCTGAAAGACGCCTTTCGTGGCATTGTGGGAGACGCCTTTCGTGGCAATGTCGGAGACGCCAAACCGTAGAACCAGCCTATCGTGTCGTCAGAGTCTCAGTAGACATCAGCTTGACACTTGGGCTTGGGCTTTCCCCACAAGTACACGTGAGTACTTGTCTCCATGCATATCATCCTTGGTGCTTAGATATGCTTTACGTGGCAGATGTGGCTTCTCAGCACGGAACGCGCAGAGCTCCGCTACTTCAGCGATCCAGAGCAGGTGCCAGAAGGATATGCCATCCTCTCTCACGTTTGGGACGCAAAAGAGGCATCATTCCAGGACCTGGAAGACCTGCGGCAGACTTGCGCGATAACTGGCAATATTCCTCGCGACCATGCGCCAGACAAGGTGCGCCAGTGCTGCGTCGTTGCAGAACGCCATGGCTACCTCTGGATCTGGAACGACACCTGCTGTATAAACAAATCCAGCAGCTCCGAGCTTTCTGAGGCCCTCAACTCTATGTTTCGCTACTATTCCCTGGCGAAGGTTTGTTATGCCTATCTTCGAGACGTCCCCACCAGCGATGCGGAAACCTTGCGTCAGGAGCATTCCGCCTTCAGGACGAGCCGATGGCATATACGAGGCTGGACCCTACAGGAGCTCATTGCGCCCGCGTTCCTCATCTTTCTCTCGGAAGACTGGGAGATACTCGGCACCAAGATGGAAATGTCGGACGTGCTGGAGGAGATCACCAGCGTACCCGCGACCGTCCTCAAGATGGAGAAGCCAATTTCCGATGTCAGCGTTGCCTGCCGTATGGCTTGGGCGGCCAAGCGCCAGACAACGCGAGTAGAGGACGAGGCGTACTGCCTCATGGGCATCTTCTCGATCAACATGACGACCTTATACGGCGAAGGGAGACATGCCTTCCAACGACTGCAGGAAGAGATCATGAGGTCTTCGATCGACGCGAGCCTCTTCGCGTGGGAAGATGCTGAGACTTCCCGGCTTGATCTTGACTATTCGCAACATTCCCTCATGGTTCCTGGACATCCCCAGTCTTGCAGTCACAGAGCACCCGCTGCATACCTACTTGCCCGATCTCCAGCAGACTTTTCGACCTCCGCAGGTGCCCAGTTTGTTCTCCCACCATCGGAACGACTCTCAAACGAAGTAGTACCAGAGGTGCGTTCCCAGGGTCATATTGTGCGCCATCCAATGTCAACTGCTCGCTTCTAGACGTACACCACAAATGTCATGACTTCCTTGGAGCTTGCTGGGATTCCCACTTTCTCCATCACTCCCTACGGCATACACGCCCATTTGAAGGTCATGGATATTTCTCCAAGTTTGAGCATCGGCCTCATTTCATGCGTCATCAACGTTCGAGGCAGAGAAGACATCCTCGGGTTGTTCCTATCCCCGTGTACTTCCGCTATGGATTCCCGCCGACCACTCTTTCATATTGGAGCGCTCGATTTCCACCTCGTTTCCCATCGGACCGTCCTACTCGGAGACACAAGGAGCAGCGTGCACATCTATCACGATAGCCCACTCGTTTCTTTTCCGCAATGGAGAGAGATCTACATTACTCATCGGCCTCCGCCTAGTACGACGAGTCTAATTCCTCATATTCCGTCCAGCTGCACCATTTCTCCGCCGTTTCGCATTCCCCTGCCAGATATCATGAAGGGCCTACCAGATTGGATACTCTTCACCATGACGCTGACCGAACCATCATGGAAGGGAACCCCTCCTATGGCGTTGACTTTCAAGCACACCAACGGCTCTTACTTGGTTGTTATCCTCGGCATCTGCCGCCGTGACACGGAGCACGGCCTACAACCCCGTTACTACAGCTCTCCATATCAAGGCTCGTTCCCGCATTGGGCGATAGTCTTCACGCCTAACGAACGACTATCCGAGACCCCGTCGCATGATTGTTTGCGAGACCATATTCGTTGCTGGCCACGACAACGGAAAATTGTGCCTGCCCCAGCCCTCCCGTCTGCAGGTCACTCCAGCGGGTCAAACCCGTTGGGACCTGCCGAGCTGACCGTCTCCTTCTCGCGTTGCCCAATCAGCTCAGGCGACACCCTTGTGCTGAATATCAAGCATTGTAAGCTTCATTGCGAGTATACTAGCGCAGGAACCGACGCAGCTGACGAAGATCGCAAAGGACGAGGAGATGTGTCTGTAATGCCTCATACAATATATATATTACTTGGCTCCGAGATACTATAAGAACGTGTCAAATGAGTCCGTGAGAGGGCTCTGGCGTCCTACGTACTTGACGTTACCGAAGGATTGTAACTACTTAGCTCACAAAATGTGAAGTCCACGGTGTCCATGTGCACCGAAAGCTCAAGCATAACCGAACGCCTCGATATGGAGTACGACGCTGGGTCCGCCGTACAAGACGGAGCTGGGGGGGAATTTGAGTGCCTCCCTGCAGGTCTTAGCGATGGCAGGCCCGCCGCAAACTACCGGTAGTAAGTCAACATTAAAATATTAAAGTCTGATGGGCGGTAAGATTGCAACGCACCCGTAACGGATAACCTTCCCCCGCTTGCGTTCTGGACTTCGTGCCTCAACAAGCTTCCTAGCTCTGGGCGTCCAGGAGTGAGGTGCACAGATGAGAAGTCCTTGAGCTCACGCGGCATATTCATAGCAGTAGGCGTGTCCTGCGGCGAGTACATTGAATCACCATCGTCTGCGCGCTGCATGTCCCCGGTGCTCATGGGAGGCATGTCGTCACGGTTCATCATCAGGGGCATTTGGTCGGACTTCTGGTGACCGGTGATGAAAATACGGACGACGATTTCGAGCCCGGACGGGGCGAGCTCCAGGGCGTTCAGGAGAGACCTGGTTATCCATTCAAGTTGTTCTACGGATGAAAGGTGAATTAAGATTGTGTGTTGTAAGACGTAACAGGCTGCTGACTCACTGGAATCACGGATAGACCAGATGAAGACGACCTTCTGTGTCCTGGCCTTCATGTTCTGCACGTCGCTGTACACCCCGCGGTCAGCGAAGTGTACATATACATATAACCACCGACTAGGTGGCACATACCTCACGACGCCGAGGAACATTGAAATCGCCAGTGAGACACCGGAACCGCCTGAGACGACCGTGTGAGCTCTGGAACGCTCCATACATGTTACAAATAGGATGCGTACCGGCCACGAGCACAACAACGTCGTCGTTCCTCAAGTTCGGTGAGAACCCATACGGCCCATCGACCCACACCTTGACTTTCCCGCCCTTCCTGGCCCTCTCCGCTAGCCTCTTCGTGACGCCGTCACGCACATTGATTAAGAAGTCGAGCTCCTCCCAGTACGGCAGCACGTCCTCATTATACTCCTTCTCCTCTCCACTATTCAAAGTCGAGTCGTCCTCACTGAGGTCCATTCGCTCCATCTTCCGAGCCTTGCTCTTGCTCTTGAGGAGCCTGTACCGCGTGTCGACGCTCGCGATCGTGAACGGGTGCGCCTCGATCGGAATCGTCGACACCCCAGGCATGATGAGGTACGCCGCCTGACCGGGTGTCCACTTGAGATGCGAGGGCCGCGTAACGCGCAACCGGACGAACTGGGGAGAGAGGAGCACAGCGGTAGCAGATAGGCCGTCGTCCATGCCGGAGGGTCCCGTGCCGCGCGTCATGGAGAAGAGGTGATTATTGAAGTAGACGAGGCGCAAAACGCGAAGGAAACGATCCAACCCCCAGATCAGGAAGCAGGGGTAGATGTAAACCCCAAGCCGGGCTGCTTGGTTGGCGTGGTAGTATGCGCCGATGAGCATAACCCTTCGTAAGCCATGTAGTCAGTGTATGCCATGCGTAGAGGTCACAATTGGTAATCACTCACAAAATAAGGGAGAAGTGAGCGAAGAAGAAGAGCTCGTAGAAGCGGGCACGTATGGGACGGAAGGCGAGCAATAATACGATGGTGTACGCAACAATGGCTGTCAGACCGATGCGGATGAACATGCTCTGGTAATTCATAGGCACAAGGCTATTTCGTCGTTAGCCACACCTGTTTGTGTAAGGTAGTAGTAATTCAGCACTACTCACAATGGGAACTAGTTCCAAAATGACGGTGGGTTAGTGGTGATGCAAGGCCAAGCGGAACTGTCCCGGACTTGCCTTGGCGCCAGCGTGAATCCAAAGTAGTATCAAGTTGACACGGGCGGTCATCCGATGAAGGTAATTGAGCTATGAGGGCACTCGTCAGCTAACAGTCATTCATTGGACATTGATCCGAGTACCTTGTCGTAGCTTACACCCGTAATGTCTAGAAAGTCGATACTGTCATTTAATAAGCGTTGTATATCGGTATGGAGCGCATATACTCACATGCGAGCACGTTGTTTTTGGTCCCGAGAACAGTGACAAGCGGAAATTGGCTCACGGCCAGTGCTCCAGCTCTGCTCGAATAGTACCGCCAGTCAAGTGGCTGCCCCGCCAGGTTGGTCGCTGAGGGAGGACAAACATCAGAACACGCATACACGAAGCAAAACGAAACCTGATACTCACTGTTAATGAACTCCCAGGTGAACAACGCAACGATATATCCGACAGTGATGAATGCCTCGGCATATGTGATACTCAACAGCTCTCCGAATTCGACCGTGTTCCGGAAGGCAAAGACACGCCACCAGTTGACGATCGCCAAAGGCAATCGGCTCAACTGCAGCTTTCGCTGCCTCACCGAGCCTCCAGGAGCTTCGGCGTCTGCCATACGCGCCGGGCACGGCGAGGAAGCTTTGGAGCCGACCCACGAAAGGAACTGAGCAATCGCAACGAGGCCGATGAAGGAAGCGAGAATCCACCAGACTTGTTGTGGGTAGAGATGATTGCGTTGCATCCAGATGAGCGTGTCCGGTGGGATGGGTGGCCGCATCATGGACGGCATCATGGGCATCGTGCCGTTCGTTTGAGAATTATCCATGGTGGCTGCCTAAGAAAGGAAAGCAAAAAGAACCAAAAGGGGTGACGAAGGGAAGGGTTTAACAAGGATGAAGTGGGGTGTATATGGTGGAATGGTATATAAAGGGAACTTCGGTCGCGGGGGCGATACAGCAGCACCAACGTCACCGCGTTGCTAGCGATCTCAGTCCCGGCCGTTACGGAAGACGGCACCCTCCACAGTTGGATCAGCACAAGGGATAATGGCAAGGGGTTGCGCATCTCCTAGTACGCGGTACATCAAAGCGCGGGTGTCGCGCTGTATTGCGCTGGTACAATCCTCTGCCCCGAATGGTATGTTCTTCTGACCGTAGTCGGACGAGCAACCCCGCTCGTGATGACCTCGCCGTGGAGCACAGCTGGATATCGCTATGACCGAGGAAAATCATCTTCACCGCCCTGCATCAAGCGGTGCAACTGAAGGCGGGAAAACCGTGGGCGCATCGTGTACTCATCCCCGAACGGTCAACGTTTGTTTTCGCAAGCGGTGAATTACTAGCCTGATGCGAAATGCTTGGCTTAATGACGGAAAAATCATGGAACTGATATTGGTACTCACCACGACACCGTGGGGTAGCCCCGCATTGCACAACGGCTTACGAGCCATCTCCAGTGGTAGCTTCGCATGCAGTCCCGTTCTCCACTGTCCAGGCGACCAAGGTGTATTGATTATATCATACCGGCCTGAGTATCCTTCTAAAGCGCCTTCATGTCGACAGCAGTATAGCGGACTCTAGAGGATGCCTTTGCGATAGATCACACTAGCTGAAGATCTATTGCCGGAAACAAGATCTTGACTATTTGAGGGTCCAGCCGCTCATTAAGACCGGCCCCATCACTACGGCAATGCTTGGGCGCAGCGCTGAGAGCTCTCAGAGAGGTCTTTCTCCGTAAGCTTTCCCCAGCGGACGTAAAATAAGTGCAGGGAGGGCTATATGCGGTGTGCGATCGCCGTGCAACGCCGGTCAAGCTGACGAGAGCATGTCAGGAGCCCAGCCATTCGAGCAGCAGACGCATTGCTCGTCCGTCAGGCTAAACACAAGCAGCACAGGAGGCCTTTGCACGCAATTGCTTTGTGGGAGTGATGAGAGTAGGCTGGTCGGCGGTCCAAGTCGCCAAGCTGGACGTAAGGCGTTGCAAGAGGAACGAAGCTGTGACCGGCGTCTACCCCTCCGTACCGCTTGGGTGGGACGCCGGGCCGACGACTCCGGGAATGTTCAAACAAGCTGTTCCAGGCCCGGGCTTTCCTACACGAAGCCTACTTGTCCTACAGGGACTTTTGTGTATGATCCTTCTCTAGATACGTCTCTCTACACAGGACTTCGCACGACCGGTAGCAAGCACGACGGCACCGCGGCTTGCCGGGAGCGGCTAAGCAAACACTGAATGTTAGCCAGCCTCCTCGAAAGGTCGTGGCTGAATCTAGTGGTACCGCTCGCCGAGAGCTCAGCACCGGCCGTTGTCGGTTCCGAACTGAAAAATTCTTCTTCCATATCATGTTTCAGAGCGCCATCCGGAACGTCCACTATGTTCCTGGGGCCATCTTAATTACACTCAGTCTCTCACCCTATCAAACTTCCGAATCGAAGTCGGACATAGAAAGGACAGGAAGTTCGTCGTCGTCTCGTCACCGGCTATCCAACCACACATACGAGCGCAATATCCAGGTCCGGATAGAGTCCGCCGTGCCATCGAGAAGTCGTCATGAAATGGGTCCGGCCATCACCATCATCGTCCTCGTTGTTTCGTGAGTGCCGGCAGGTCCGAGATTACGATATTGTTAACCTTGTTTCGCGTTGAATTGATTGGCTGGGCATGAGAAGCATTGATAGGTACATCCGTCAAGCAATACGGATGCCACCGCGGGCGCACTCAAATTACGTTTTTAGGAAATATATGCCAGTGCACAGGTAGATTGACTCAGTGACGTACATTCGCGTCTCGTGCCTGTCAGCGTTCCGACTAAGTGCAAGAATAGATGCATAGTTCAAGGCGCGTTATTTGGCAGGCAGAGCACAGATATCGTATTCACCGCAATGTTTGGACTGCTGTGAACATGGGTGATAGTGCTCTCAACTGGCAACCGTTCCTTTGCCTGCCAGGCACTTGCTCTACACAATAACGAGTACTACAGTAGAAGGCTCGATACAGACAGTAGATATCTGGCGCAGCCCAGCCGAAATCTCGTTCAGGCATCCCGCCTCGCGAGCCTCATGGGCTCTGTGTAAGATTAACGAGTTGATGTTCTTGTCGCCGTCTGCATTCGAGCACTGGCATCGCGGCCGTAGAGACCAGCTGGATCTTGTGGCGCTCCGTCAACTAGCATATAGTTTGCGTCTAGCAGATATTGGATAGCAGTGCACGAACGAGTGACGTCGCGGCGTCGTCATGTTCTAGGTTAAGTGCACCAAGCACAGTACTAATGAAGCCAGGGCGATCTGCGGAGGTTGGTGTGGGTGTGGCGCCGATCGCGGCAAATACGGAGACATCGTATCCCACATTGCCTCGCTCGCGGTCAACCCCAGCCTGGAAGCACGAAAGAAGGTAGGGGAATGAATGTGTATGCGGACGCCTGCTACGATGCCGCGCATCCTTATCCACTTCTCGTTCCATACAAGACGCCGTCGTTCTACTGTAGACAACAGGCGGATGTGGGCCAGACCGGTGCCCTACTTGCGAAGACGCCGATTCCGGTAAGTTCGAAGGCTTACGCACCATTTGAGGAGCCAATTGGCGAATCAGTACGAGAAATCGGAGAATGGGGTCGTGGCGCAGGGAGGTGAAGCATATTATTCGTGCGTGGTGGTATAGGCAATAATGCTGTGCAAGAGCGGCCATTGGTGAGCGGCGCCGCTGTCGCGAACCGCCATCTTGTTCCTCAAGATTAGACACCGGTGGCGCTTTCCTGGGCCGGTTTCTCGTCATATACCTACCCGCAGACGCAGAAATCTGGTCGAGCGGAAGGCGCGTCGGACCCGGACAAGAGCGCCGAGCTGCTAGGTACATAAAAGTGGTCAGATAGCCGATTGTCATCGCCCGCTCCGTGCCTCAGTCTCACAAGACTCGCCTTCCCGCCGCAAGCCTCCTACCACGACCATGACGTCCTCCTCAACCTCCTCAACCATCGTCTCGTCGCCGGGCAAGGTCCTCATGGCCGGTGGCTACCTCGTCCTCGACCCCGCGTACTCGGGCATCGTGGTGTCTACCAGCTCGCGCTTCTACACCGTCATCGACACGATCTCCGAGCTCCCCGCGCCTGGCCCGATCCAGATCCGCGTCAGATCGCCGCAATTCCTGGACGCGACCTGGCTCTACTTCGTCGAGTTCGATGGCCCGGACGTTGTGCGCGTCGAGCAGGTCGCAGACAAGTGAGTATTTTCCGAGTGCACTTCGCTCCTGCTGGGAGAATGGAATACTGATCAATGTCATGTCGTCCGATCGCGCGCTGCGCCGATGTGGTCCGTTTCGCTCGCTACTCGATTCCGACTCCTAATCGGGATCACACCAGCTCAGCGAGCGCCTCCGCGACCAAGAACAAGTTCGTACATCTGGCGCTACAGCGCACGTTGACGCTCGCGACCGAGCTCAAAAGCGCTGGGACGTTGCAGAACTCGCTCTCGCATGGTTTGGACATCACTATTGCAGGCGACAATGACTTCTACTCCCAGCGCGCGCAGGTCGGCCGGTGTTCACATCCACTTCCATGGCACGTTGGTGCTAAATTACCTTATAGCTCTCCGCCCAGAATCTTCCGCCAACCCTGGAGTCGCTAGAGAAACTCCCTCCGTTCAACAAGACCGGCGTGCGTCTCGCGGAGGTGCACAAGACGGGCATGGGATCCTCCGCGGCGTTGATCACCTCTCTCGTCTCCGGGCTCCTATTGCACCTCAACATCATCCCCGCGGACTCTTTTGCGACAGAGGGTGGCACAGAATCCGCCAGCGAGGGGCGAAAACTCGCGCACAACCTCGCACAGTATATCCACTGTCTCGCGCAGGGCAAGGTCGGCAGCGGCTTCGACGTCTCCGCGGCCGTGTTCGGAAGCCAGCTGTACACGCGCTTCGACCCTACCGTCATCGCGCCCCTGATGTCCGATTCGACCGTGAGTGTCCGATTGACGAGGACCTTGGGGTTAACGCTGAGGATGCATGATCTTCGTAGCCCTCTCATGAGCCACTGCATCCTGTCATATCGCCTTCGAACGAGGCATGGAACTACCGCGTCCAGCCGTTCAAGCTCCCCCCGCAGACGCGGCTCATGCTCGCCGACGTTGACGCGGGCTCTGACACGCCCTCGCTCGTCGGCAAGGTGCTGAAGTGGCGGAAAGAGAATCCCGAGGAGGCAAAGAAGCTGTGGGACACCATCGACGCGCTCAACACCAAGCTGGCCAAGGTGCTGTCCGGGCTCTCGGATACTGAGACGAAGAATCCCACCGCGTACCGGAAGGCGGTGAAGTACATCTCGACGATCCAGAGCGTGCAGTGGCTCGCGAACCCGAACATCACGCAAAACGGCGACCACGCCGCGTTCAAGGAGGTCATCGAGACCTTCGTAGAAGCACACCAAATAACCGAGGCGAGTTTGTCTTTCTGCTCTCTGTTCCGCATGAGCGCTAAGAGTGCTGCAGGACATCCGCGCTAACATGCGCAAGATGGGAGAGCTCTCCTCCGTGCCAATCGAGCCACCAGAACAGACCGCTCTCCTCGACACCTGCGTCTCTGTCGCAGGCGTCGTGGGCGGAGGGGTTCCGGGAGCGGGGGGCTACGACGCGCTCTGGCTGCTCGTGTGCGACCCGCCAAATTGCCCGCGCGAAGAGCTTCCCTCTGCGCGTGTCGAGCGGGTGTGGAGCACGTACAAGGACTTAGACGTCTCGCCACTCCTCGCGTCGGAGAGCATCGCGAAGGGCGTGCGGGTAGAGAAGTTGGAAGAGGTCAAGGGGCTAGAGGAGGTCGTGCACGCGCACTGACACACCAGGGTTGCCGCATATGCAGCTCCCGAACGTGTCGGAGCTCTCGCTTATTATATGATATCCTGCTGTACATGTATGATGGAAAGTCCGTGATGCAACTAATGATCCAGTCCGTACGTGTGAGAACCATCTCTAGCAGCGGCGCGAAGACAGTTGTGATAAGTTAGTCAGGGAAGGGGCAGGTGGTAAACATAATGCGCGTGTCTATGAATGCGTGTGTGAGCGCACAAGTGCTGAGATGTCCGACAACAGGACTAAGATCCGACCGGAGGGAAGCAAGAGTGGGGTAGAGGGAACGGGACTCTCGGGGATGGCAAGCCACCGTTGGACGCACTGTCGCCGCCCTCTGCCAATAGGTGCCACAGTTCGGCTTTACGCGTCACCGTCAGATACAGATGGTTGCGCGCCCCGCGGGAGTCCAGGCCTTGCCAAGTGCGAGGAAGAGTGATATGCAGAGGACGACGACGCCGAAAGACGCGCATGCGACCGCGGGCAGCTTTGAGCGCGAGTACCAAGGTTCGTGGGGCGCCGAGAGCTTGATGTAGCACGTTGCTGGGAAGATGAACGCGAGCGCGGTTGCGGACACTCCGCCTGTTATTTCGAGCATGACGCCGAGATCGCAGGTAACGAGGGCAACTGGTGTGGGGACAGCCGATGTCAGATGATGTAGTACAGGAGATGCGCCACGAACACGTACTGATCATGGAGGAACAAAGGATAGAGGTGGTAAAGAAGACGTGACGTTGCATGTGGAACGGCTCGCGGTCGAAAAAGTATTGCTCGATCACCTCTCGACAGACAAACAGCTCCAGGGGGAGCGTCGTGAACATGTTGAGTCCAAAGCAGAATCTCGCAACATTGATTAAGGTATCATTCTAGATAGAATCGAAGTCAGCTAATCTGTACAAGAATGAGAGACCTCAGCGAAGAAACTCACAAACCCGAAGTTGTTCAGTATGTTGCCTTGCGTCTTGTCCGTGAAGACGATGTATGCAGATATCGCTAGCGTGCAACAAGCGACTAGGGAGATCGCCGTCGAGATATGCGTGACCTTGTTGAACCGATCCAATGTTGGTGTGCGCAAGCTCCCATATATCAATAGCGAGTTATGGTGGCAGACAAAAGCGAAGCTGATGACGCCAATAGCCTGAAATACCCCGTCACCCAGAAATGTCCAACGTGCATTGGGGTTGCCCTTCAACTCCTCGGGTACGTGGGGGCCCTCTATGAGAACGGAGGTGACGATGATGAGCATGCCTATCAGTGCCAATCCGGATGCGCGCGACAGCTTGTGGATATCACGGTAGAGGGAGAGCGGGTAGGAGACGCATATTGTACAGAGAGCGATAACGAATTGCCGGTTGGCGAGGAGGTTCAGGACGGGGACACGGTATAGGTTGGGAAATACTGAGCGAATGACATGGGGTATTGTATCACCTGTTTGAAGTGAACATATGCCCATTGGCAGCTTTGCAAAACAAGAGTCACGTACCGATGATGATACCAAAAGCACACATGCCTCCGAACGCAAATGCGAACTGAAAGAATGACACTGCAGCTCGGCCGCTTGAACCAAAACAGTGATTCATGATTCCGATGTACGAGTTCTGACCGCTCAGCTTCGCATTGAGCACAATCAAACGAATGGTCCAGTCGGTGACACCGCACAGGACGACCAGCAGGACGAGCCCAACGAAGAAACCGGCTTGGCGAACAGCGTATGGGAGACCTGACACTCCGCGTTAGAGTAACTGTTAACCCCGAAGCATTCGAAGCATACCAATGATGCCTGCTCCTAGTATTGAATTGGCCATATTCGCTACAGAATCTAGCAGGCCTCCGCCTGCAAGCCTCTTCGCGGCCAACTCCTCCAGGTCAATCCTTGGTTCCGAGTATGCGTCCTCCGGGCTGTCGATACTACGCCTGATAGCCGAGGCATCCAACAATCCGACCAACAGTGGCATTGACTGTTCGCCTCTCCGACCACTCGTGCGGGGAGATCGTCCGTCCTGCCTGCTGGAGTGGAGCTGCGAGAGCGCAACGCCATCGAGTTCGTCATCATCCAGGTCGAATTCTGCAGCAGCACCAATGGTTACACATGGGGTCGTAGATTGACCACTGTACCAGAAGACTTACTCACCGGTCTCGCGGCTTTGAGATGTTGATCGTAGAGGAGGTAAAATCACCTGCACGTCCTCCTGGAACCGGACGGTGTGACCGGGCTTGCCTCCGCCCACATACGTATCCCCGTCCATATCCCCGTCACTGAGTAGCTCCTCGTCGCCATCATCGCTTCCATCCTCCACGGAAAAGAGAATCTGGCCATTTGACCGCGCGGAAGAAGGGCCGTTGCTAGAACTTGGGACATCCTCCTCAGAGTCGTGGAGTAACGGCTGGCTCAAGCCACCTTCTTCGTCCCGGCCGCGCGTTTTGCTAGTTCTACCAAGCATGAGTCGAGATCATAGGACGTCCTGAGACGACTTAGAGTAGCAGGGGCAGCGTGGCACGGCTGAAAGAGCGTGAGCAAGCCGAGAACGCGCCGTGCGAGCTCCGGGCATGCTGAGCATGTACTGGCCCCCGCCGTGCGCGGCAAATCGAGTCCGCGACTCCCGGTTCAACCACCATAATCAAGCCTTTGTCTGTGGTTCAAGCTCGGGATGGCTATTGCACATGTATGTACACGGTGACCATCCCAATCAGTGAACTAATTGGACAAGCAGGCTGCCATGTTTCCCGCCGAGATCCTTGACCACATCCTCGATCATCTACACGATGATTACAAGGCCCTAGGGGTGTGTGCTCTTGCTGGACGTGCCCTCCTCCCAACCTCTCGGTACCATCGATTCAATGGTCTTTACGTCGACCGTTATCATGCAGGAATTCTGCAAGCGTTTCTTGTGGAGGCCCCGGACCTCGCGATGTCGATGTCTGCCTTGACGTATCAGCCTTTCAGCATGTTCCGCATGGGCTATCACGAAGACGCCGCAGACGTGACGGAGGATCTGCTTCGACTCTTGCCCAATCTCACCGACATCCGCATTCCAGCTCCGGCCTTACCTTATCTTGCGCAGTTCCGCTCCCAGTTGACACATCTGCGGCTCTTCGAAGTATGGGTTTCAACGCGCCGGGAATTGCTTGCAGGACTCTCGTTGTTTACCGAATTACAAGAGCTTGAACTGTGCGACCCAGCGCCGTGGATCCGTAGTGACGAGGATATCGAGGACGCACTTGACCCTCCCGCGCCTCATGTCCGCACCGTCTCCTTTTGGAATTCGACTTGTCCCCGCATCATCACCGGATGGTTTGATTCGCAAGGAATAACTCCACTCCTATACCGTGCCAAGCTCACGATACAAGCTCGTGCCAGTGCGTCGGCCTTTGTCCACCAATCTTGCGTGCTCGCACCCTTGGCTCAGGAACTGGAGGTGGTGTTCGCACCTAATGGCACCATGCAAGGTGCGCTCGTTCACATACGACTTCGACGTCCATTGCCTCTCACGCGGAGCTCCAGATGCTTTACAGGATACAGATCTGACTCTCGAGAGGTATTCCATTATCCACTCTTGCACCCTTCGTTTCAGGTTCTCTGAGATGTGCGTGGCGGAGAACAAATCGTTGTCGTGGATACCAAAGATCCTTGGCCAATTGTCGTCTGACTCTCTCCGGTCGCTCACGATCTCGTTGGTTGTCGACAACGTCGAAGACCTCCGGTCGCTCATGTCCGAATGCGCGGTTCGGGTCCTCACTACTGCCTATTTCGACGACATGCGAGCCCTAGACTGGGCTGCGATAGGGCAGGCGCTCAGTTCGGAACGTCTTAGAGGTCTGCGGAAGGTGGTGTTGGAAGGCCGCGGGAGTCGATCTTTGCTGGAGGACCACATCAGGCTCAATTGTCCTGCGCTGCATTCACGTCGTATACTGACATTACACGCGGTCGCGAAGAGCCCCATCTGGGCCGAATTACGGCCGCATCCATATTAGCCCGTTTCCGACAGATCCTCCGTAATTTGAAACAGCACTTGAATGCCTGCCCCTTACTTAGGTGGAGATCTGTCAATGTACCAGATCGTAGTGATTCAAGAACAGGATGGACGCCAGCGACTGTGTTTGATTCATTTGGACCATCATAAACTTATATGAAAGCTTCGCCTCATGCGGACGTGAGATGTTTGGGAGCCACTTCTCATGAGGACGTCACCCAAATGACAGGTTTTGCTGTACTCACGCAGCTCGCGGATCAGGGTGTTCACACCTCACACCGTGTCAGGCAAAGCCTCAAGCTTCAATTGCCTACCCGCGGTATCACTCCTAGTAAGATGGCAGTTATGCATATGGTGACGTGCTATCGGCACGATCGGTATGGACTGACTCGCTCGATCAAAGTATGGACTGACTCGCTCGATCAAATCAGTAGCGCTTGTCAAGGGCATGAGAACTTTCCAGCGCCTCGATGCAATGGCCGTCATCCTCTCCCATTGTAAGTATCTCATGCGAGCCTCCCAACAGCTCTTTGTCGAGTGACACCCGGCCCTTGCAAAATAACCAGCATTGTCGCCTTCACAATGGAAGGCATACCATTGCTTCAACATGCCAGTCATCAGATATAAGGTTCGATAACTTTTGCTGAGCAATAATCAAGACTTGGACTTATCAAACGCATCCCCGCTTTGTGTGTTTCAGAGCCCCTCGTGCCACATAATGTTGGTCAGTCTACAGCATGCGGCTTTTGAGCCTGCTGCGCCACCGGCGGTCGTCCCAAAGCTCAAATATGAGGTGGGACTATTCCCTACGGAGCGTAATGCGATGCGAAGTCTGCCAATATACCGACGCTGTGGAGACCGGTGACCAACGAGTGTGAGTTCCCAGATCTATCATTACTCGATGTGCGAGTTGTGCTTCCCACCGAACCCAGCCTATTGCGGTGTGCCTTCTGTGGTGTGGGACTGTTGGCGACGCACTGCCGCGTTGACAACCTCCTACGTCTGACGCCTGCGCAGGAAGTGCGCCGGATCGCGGCGCAGTGACTACCCGGCACTGAGATATAGCGATGGTCTCTCCCTAACAAGGTTTCGCACCCTCTCTTGCCAGGCCCATTCCGCTCGAAGGATCTCGCCTTCCTCCTCTATAACACTCCTTGCAGCTTGCCTGAGCGGGCCCAGGCATGCAGCACTGATCTCAGGAGACGAACATGTGCCGGACGTCCGTCTGTCGATTTCTTTTGGGTTCTCGTAGCAACCCTGGTACCCCGAAAACACAATGGGGCTCGGATGTAGCGGAAGCCAATGGCTCTGGCCCATCTTCAGCAACCACGAATGCTGAAGCGTTTCCGGATTCGGATCATGATGGCACGGAGGTCAAAGCGGAGGATATGGACAGTGGTAGCGGTGACATAAGCGCCGAAGCAAAGCGGGAGTCCATCTCTTTTAATCGAGACACCCTTCTTTCAGACACCTTCTCCACGACCTCTGACATCTGCCAGACACACTTTCTTGCCACCTCGCTGCCATTCAACTCTACCTCGTTCCTCGCTGCATACTTGTTCAGCTTGCGCGAACATAGCCTCAACCACACCCTCCTGCCCATAGGCTCCTATCATCCCGAATCCGTGGACAGACCACCGCCACACCCTGTCATCTCACCCATCCGTCATAGTCTTGGGCTCGACCCCGAGGCGCTCAAAGTCATACCTTCCTTGCAGCCGGGCACCGCGGAAGAAGAGCGGGCGCGTCGTCGCGAGGTTATGTCGTTACAAGAGAAGTTCGACATCCCCAAACTCCTGCAGCAGGTCGACGCGGCCCGGGAACCGTCTCGCGCTACGATAGCCTCCACTCACTCTCGTACCAAGAGAACAGACGATGAGAGGCTTGCCCGACAACGCGACAAATCCGTTCCTCGTTCCCGCTCCTCAGCGCAACTCAGAGGACAAAGCACTCGGCCCCGCCGTGAGGAGGCCGTCAAGTGCACAGTGACGCCCGTGTCGTGGGGTAACCCCTTGGCGCCCCCACCATCCTTGAACGCGTCCACCGCTAGCCTCTCCCCTAACGTCGCGTCGACTGTGCCCCCCTCGTCAACCACCGTCTCTGAACGAGCGCGAACAGTACTCCCAAAGCAGTCCTCCAAGTCCCTTATGTCGAGCTCCGACATGAATAAGCAGGAGCGAGCACCGAGCATCTCTGCGTCCTCTTCTCATGCGTCACGCATACTCGCAACGGGCAGTCGGCCGCGAACCAGTGGCACCACATCGCCTCTAGAGTCCGGTGTGCCCGTCGAGCTTCTTAGCTTGGAGGAGCTGAGGAAGAAGGGTTTGGAGAGTATGGACTCGTGCATTGCCCGTGCGGAGGAGCTAGGGAGGCGCGTGCGGGATACTACGTACCCTTCAAGGAAGGAGATCTACGAGAAGCTAGTCAGGGTCAGTGCCATATCTCTGTTCCATCTGTGTTTAACTGGATGCCTGACGTTTCGTCAACATAGGAGGGAAAGATTTCAAGTCGGATCGAGCGACCCATCATCCCGTCGGATCACTCCCCGAAAGATGCAGAGAGAGTAACAAGCTACGAAGGGAGGTTGCATTCCAAGCGACCCACGGATCGAGTGGGTTCTGACGTATCATACGGTATCAACGGTGGGATATTGATGCAACTCGTTCAGACGTCCAATGAACGGTCTACAGAAAGCTTGGCGCAAACGATAGATTCTTCACGTAGCCGAAGTCGATCACGTCCTTCTACGGTCGAATCGACACATAGTGGCAGGCATCTCCGCGACGGGCAGTCGACAGCGGTGACTCACCAGAAATCGGCTCAACCTAGGAAGGAGCCCTCACGAATTGGAAGCGGCGGCAGCGACTTACCAGCTCAGCAAGCTTCCTCTCCAGCTCGCGATGTTCGTACGCGCCACAGGCCTACTCGTTCCCGTCCCAACCCGACATTGTCGGGTTCCACCTACCCCCACACGTCTCCTGAGAACACTGCTCGCGATTCTGGCTTCTCCACGCGCACTGAGGGTCACGCTGATAGGACCGCCCGCTCGTCTAAGCGATCTGGCGTATCCACAGGAGCCTCGTCGAAGTCCTCAGTCACGCGTCCCTATCGAGAAGAATCTGGAACGTCTGACTCCAAATCGTTTGCGTCGCTCAGCTTGGATCACGCCTCCATACAATCTAGTCAGTCAGGGTCACTTTCGTCGGACCCCGGAGATAGATTGTCGGTACGTACTTCAATGGTCAACCTCCAAGCAGCTATCCGTAATGGACTGACCGTAGTCCCTGCAGCCGACCAATCACCGCTCCTCCCATCGCTTCCAATTTTCACAACCTCCAACTGTTCAATTCGCCACCAGCACCGCTAGGCACTCACGTTCCACACGGAAAGCTTCTCGTAGTGGCCAGGATGTCATAGAGTCAAAGGTCGAGTCAGAGAAGGCGACGACGCAGTTCGGGGAGGAGACTCCATTCGAGGACACTGACTCTCACGCGGGAAGTGACAGTGAAGAACAGGATCGCAGATGGTCTACAATCGCCATCGTCTCTGACGCTTCCCCCATCTGGGAGGGCTCCCAATGGACGTCGCAGGATGCCGAAGAGGAGGATTCCGAATTTGAGAGCTCCATGACAGGAGAAACTCCCCGGACGGCTCGTGACACAGCCTTCTCCGACCTTCAGGCTTCCGAGGAGACAGTGCTCGGGTCTAGAGCAGCGACTGCTTCGGAACGTGACATGGCCCCGAGCTTCCCGTCCAGCACCAGACCTGCCGCCGTGGCTCAGGCAACGGACTTCAACTCTTCCTCTGAGGAGAGTGACTGGCTGGCCAAACCGAGGCCGGCCGAAATCCGAGTATTCGCCCAGTCGAGCAACGCGTCCTTCACTCGCTCCCAGCGGTCGTCCGGCATTAGTTACGCTACCGCGAAGGAACCTTCATCTGTGGGCCGTGACCCTCCCGAGTCGCCTGTTACTCCCCGAGCTCCATGCAATCCGCCTCGCAACGAACCTGAGACACCCCTGCTTCATTGTGACTTCGGGTCTATCGTGGGCGACAACACTTTCAGTATCGTGTCCGAACAAGTCTTCGATTTCGACTCCTACAGCTTATTCGCCAGCTTGTTGAGGCCTCCCCCAACCATTCCAGGAGAGGTTGCTCCTGACCACGTAGAGGTCACTACTACACCTCCTGTTGCCCCGCGGAAATTTCTGAGGGGACGGATCGAGCCCGTCTGGAGGGAGCCTCCGGTAGAGCCGACGCCAGTGGATCATGCAGGAACCAGCATCAGGGCAGCAATCACGGCCGAGGCTTCGAGCGAAGAAAGCCTGTCACAATCTGATACGTCCGATTTGGACCACAAGTCGGTGCGGCTCACGATCTTCCCCAACGCGTCCGATACGACCTTTGCGACATCTTCGGGCTCTGGCTTGTCGCATGGGAAGCCGCTCTCCTCTACAAGGCAATCTTCCGTGCCGAAAGAACAGGACGATGACAGCGACGAGGACGACCCATTTAAGGATCCGCCATCTTACGATAGTGTCGTGTCATCTCGCAGGCGCGTTCAGAGCGATGCGAGAGCTCACAAGCCCCGACTCTTGCTGGACAGGCGCTTACGAGAGAGTTACGTCGAGAAAGTGATAGTGAGGCACGAACTCTGCGAAGCGAAACGCCAATCCCGGCCCAAGGAAGCTGAAGCTGAAGCAGGTCGCGGTAGGAAGCCGGGAATCTTAGGCAATCTCAAGCGCTGGAATCCATTTGGCTCTAAGAAGGATGCATCGGCGAAGAACAGGCTCGGACCCCGCAGTGGCCCTTCTACCGTTCACTGGCGGCCGACTGCCCGCCCCGGACTTCCTGAGTGAGCCTTTCACGCCGCTTCCACATTGCGTAGGTCATCAGTATGAGTTTCTGTCTCCCTCTTGGGTCTCTTTGCTTGTTGAATTATTATATCTTGCCGCAGACTTGAGTTCTTCTCTCAACATCATTCTAGCATCTTGTAGCTCTGATTTCGTCCCTTACTGTACAATCATCTCGATGTCTCCGTTGTTGTATCCTTGTCCACCCTATGCCTCATATATGCCCTTATGACCATGACCATATGATTTATGCCATTTATGTCCTCAACGTTCGTCTCTGGGACGCTTGTGTATCTTCCATTGTATTCGGTGTATCGTATCATCGCCTTGTTATCTGCCCTGACACAGATTTTACACCGCATCGTTCACCAGTTGTACATGGAAGCCGTGAGAAGATGTATACGTAGACATATCGTCAAGGTACGACCTCCATAGAAATTATACTAGTAAATGCAGCACGAAATGAACAAACATAGCAGACGTCTATTACCACTTGACAGCCAGCCCAACAACCTCGCTCTCCACTGCCCTATACTGGGTGCGGAACAGCCGCTGTCGTCTGGCCTCTGCGTCCCCATCCAGTTTCGTGGACCACCCGACCGGCCCCCCCGTTGGTTCGACCGGCTTCGTGAGTTCTGCAAGGATTCGACCCGCGAGCTGATCGGCCGCTTCGAATGCTGAACTGATGCTCGCTGGAGAGCCGTCGACAGGTGGGGTGGGAGGAGGTGTCGGAAGCGTCCTCCAGTACGCCGCCTCGACCTTCTTCGTCCATTCCCGATCTCCCCACTTAGGGCCGACAGGTGCTGCAGGTAGCGTTTCATCGGCGTCGAACTTGACACCTGCCTCTGACCAATTTCGCGAAAAGCCCTCTTCGTCGGCGTCCTTCGCAGGTTGCACGGCGCGCAGCTGCCCTCCTCCATTCACACATCCGCTCGGACACGCCATGACCTCGACGTAGTCATAGCCCCTGTCCTCCTGCGCTGCGCTACCGGCCGCATCCTTCCGTACGGCCCGTCCACGTGCACGCAGACCGGCCAGCCTGCCGGCTGCTCCTCTGCCGACTTGGACACCACTGTCACGCCCAACCTTGCGAACAACGTTCTGCAGGTTGCGGAAACCGTAGCACTTCGCCCCGCGGAAGACGACTTGGCCAGTCTCCCGATTCGTGACCGTGTACTCCTCGTAGTCCGCCGTGCGTACCGTCTTCGTTGTCACCTCGAATACATCGGGGTTTGAAGACGACGAGGTGAGGGTGGAAATGATTGAATGAAGGTACGATCCAGAGCTCGTGCCAGGGTGCATGAGCAGCTCCGGGAACGCGAGATCCGCGGATAACATCCCTGGATCCGAACGTTGATCATCCACGGTCCCGAACATAGCACCGCGAGAAAACGACGTGAGACGGGGCACGTTCTCGTCTGATACAGGAATGGATAGATCCCAGCCTTTCTCTTGCATCAGGAGCTGTAGCTCGCCCGTAGTGATCACGCAGTCAACATCGCGTGTCGCGTACGCTTCGTTGTAGAAGTCCTGCCGCGAAGCTTCGAGCTTCTTATCGTAGCATGGCATCACCGTGACGTGGTAGATCTGATCAGGCCTATAGGTGTAGTGTATCCATGCGAGGATCATCCATAACGCCCAAGAAGATGCGAGCGGGACGATCAGCACACAACTCCGACATGAGATGCATGGGGGGATGGGAGATGAACACACGTTTTTCCCCACTTTGCTCCGGACCATTCCTTCACGAGTGTCCCCATGACCTGCTGTGGGCTCTTCGTCCGGCTGATGAATGGCAGCATCTCGGCGTGCGTCTTCTCGGCGTAGCATACCCAGCCTGGACATGCGCTTGCAAGCATTGGAAGCTTCCCTTCTCCGTTCTTCCGCTCGGTGAACTCCTTCGCGTGCTCCAAGAGGGTTATGTGACGGGCGAACGTAGTGTCAAAGACGTGGGCGAAGCCGAGCACCTCCTTGCAGAACGCACTTACGCGCCTAAGGACTTGGAGAAGGCTAACATTCTGTGAAGAGCTGGAGGAAATGGAAGCAGCGAGGGATGCCAGGCATTGGGGCGCGATTGAAATAACAGGGACCTTGTGATCAGGAGATGAATGGGGTGGGTTGTTCTCCAGAACATTCAGAACCTCGGCATGGGATTGCATGGTAATGAGGACAGACTCCGCAGAGGTAATGCAGCCGCTATAGACCTGGTCAGCCTTTTACAATAGCATAGATATACGCATAGAACGCACCTGCACGCGAGACAATCATTCAGACTGATCTCTGCTGTGGTCAGCTTCTGCTTCCCGGCTGTCTGTCCCGCGGTAGGTGCGTTCGTCGAGACTTCGTAGTAGGACCCGCTCGAATCGACTTGGATTTGGGTCTTCCATCAACACATTTAGTCGTTTGAGATGAACAGGATGCAAAGTAGACACATACAGCAGCCGCGCCCGCATCCTGAGGTTCTGGTTTGTTCGTCTGCTCTACGGGTTTGATGCAGGCTTGTGATGGCGTTATGAAGTCATTGAGGTCGGTGAGCGTCTGACATCAGTTAATCAGCATTCCTCTGACCGAGATAGCTCATCTTATATAACATACCAAGGCTCCTGAAAACGCCATCGACAACGCGAGTGGTGAAGGAGAAAAGGGTAAGGGAGAGAGGGCAAGAGGAAGGAGCCGACGAAAAGTAGCTACCGCTGACTCAGATCTCGATTATGTACCCGGCACAGCCACCAACCGGGACGTTACCGCTCATTTGCTCGCATGCTCCGCCAAACTACACCGTTATTAGTCTTTTTGTCTGACACTTGTTCAGTGACACGACTCATCGCATACGAGTCTCGAAGAGATACAGAGCATCCAAATATTGGTATGTGCATTCAACTGTATGCACCAGTGTCCTACCAAGGCACCGTCCTCATCCCCTTGCTCAAACTCCCAGTATGATCCACCCTCGTACGTCTTTTCATCATCCGCCAGCAGACGATAGATGACCTCTGCCCCCACTTCTGGATCCTGCGCATGCGGCAAATAACTAGTGAAAGCCGTCTTCAGCAAGCCTGGTGCACATACATAGTACCGGATCTTCGGCTTTCCCGGTAAAATCGGACTCGCGGCACTCGTTTCAGCCTCCAAGCGATTGTTTTCGGCGACTTGCATGTGTACGGTGAGGCCGTTCAGGCCGATCTTACTCGCGCCGTAGGGCACGTTTCGATTCATCTTCTTTGTCAGCGCGTTTTGGATGCTCCCGAGCCCCGAGCTGACATTGATAACCTTCGGGTCAGCGGATTTGTGAAGGAGCGGCTGGAATGCGGTGGAAATGACGGCGACGGAAGTGAGGTTGATGTTGAAGATGTCGCTGTAAGTTGCGCGAATGGCGGATGATGGGAGGTCGTCCTCAGGAGTGCGCGTGAGGACGCCAGCGTTGTTGACTAGGACTATAATGGGGGTTCGGAGGGTAATGGGCGCTCAGAGACCTGGACGGATGGATACTCACCATCAAGTCGACCGTAGGTCTCTTCGACGTACTTCACTGCAGCCGCGATCTAATCGTCGTTGGAAACGTCGAGCTGGAGCACGTCGACGTTAGCGGTAACGCCGGCGTCCTTTATCCTCTGGACAGCTTCCTTGCCGCGATTGATGTCGCGACTACAGAGGATGTATGTGTAGGATGGCTGTCGCAGAGCGGAGATATGAAGGGCCCAGTATCCGAGCCCCTGGTTGGCCCCGGTGACAAGCACAACTTTGGAAGCCGAAGACATGGTGCGGATGTCGATGAGTCTGCCGCTAGGACGTATCCCCCCCGATGCTTTTATCTCCTTCGCTGCAAGGGATCACCCACCGTGGGTAGTATACGGCTCCAATTGCAGTCCGACCCACATCGTCAACCTTGCATTGAAGTCGGAGTTGCTGTGGGTCACTTTGCCAATTGTGTATAATCTCACCTTGACCAGTCAAACTGGTAGGCGACCACCTCGATTGACCGGTCCGAAAGTGACACTGACCCCCTTAGATAAGGTTACTGATATTGACTTGGACTGTAACACGTCGAGTCTGGTCGACTGCCAGTCATTCAAAGATCCCTTTATTGTCTTTTGCACCAGAACACTTGCGGGGTTGCCGTCCTCTGGGAGGATTGTTCCCGTCGGACATGAAGGCTGGCATGGGGAGGAAGTTAGAAACCACAACCAATGTAGCGTCTCTGTCGGCAAATAACCCATGGGGGGCTGAACCCCCCCCCCTCCCTCCCCTTGCACCAAGCATCATCTCAAAAGGATATGGTATAGCGATTACAGATTGTGCATGATCTCTGCTGATATAATATCAACGTTAACATACAGTGCAGTGTACCGTAATGTCAACCTTGTCTCGATGTGGGTAGCTTGGTAGCCTGCCAAACCGCTGCATTATCCAACGTATGGTACCGGTGTAGCTGGTGTCTGAGAAAACTTGGTAGTTACGTATTATTAGGAGGCTGTGACATGCTCATGGACGAACAAGGAATATACGAATACAATACATGCGTGTAGAGACGGATAGATACCTGGTCTGTGACGTCATGAACAGCAAGAGACTGACAGCGATGATACAGCATGTAGACGAGAGAGAAATATGAGCGTGGACGATGACCTTTGATGTGTATGTGAGACGCAAATAGGCGGCATTAGGATACTCAAGGCGAGGTAGCGATGGAGGCCATGTGGGGCGGAACTACTACCGGCGGCGTTGGCTGTAGTATGGAGCGCACTCGGGACAGAAATCCTGCCTGACGGCAATGACCGTCTCGGAGGCATCAGGTCCAAAGTACTGCGTATGGATGAAATGTTTGTTAGAGAGTTTGAAACGAGGGTAAGCGTTGGACGCTACGCACGCGATCGCACATGCAATTCGGACAGGGGTTGCGATGGCGACGGGAGTTGTAGCAGTACGGGTTCTCACAGTCGATCTTGCGCAGCTTCTTGGTCTGGGAAGTGAAGCAAGATTAAGCTATGGCGCTTAAGAACAAACTTTACAACTATATGGTACTTACGATTATGTAGTGCTAAAGACGGCGGGAAGCAGTGACGTCAGATGGAGCGCTTGGATTAGACGGTCTCAAGGATACGCACGCCGCAGCCATACTTGACTCCTTCGCTGCATATCAGAGATGATCGTGAGCCTCGTTGGCCTGGAGATGGCAAGAGGAGCGGCGAGAGGGGCTGGACTTACGTTTCGAGGCAACACATGTCTTGGGTCTGGGGGCACAGCAGATAAACCTTAAAAGCTAAAGGCAGCATAAGCGATCGAAGAAGCCTCGACGTTCAGGAACAATGCGCTTACGGGAGCGGGAAGTACGAGCGCAGCGCCGAGGAAAGATGCGGCGAAGGTGCGGGGAAGATGCGGGGCGCGCGGTAGAGGGTGAGCCTGTAGTGGGGGTGGAGATAGGTATCGAAAGTAAGGGAGGGTAGATGATTAGAGGAGGAGCTCAGAGCGAATTATACAAGGGGGCGCAGAGAGCTTAGGGTAGAGAGGCAGCAGACAGGGCTCTTTATAGGGAACGGGAGTGTGGCCGCATCAAAGGAGGGCGTGTAGTTGTCAGGACAGAACACGTTGTAGGCGAAGGCGGAAGACTGGCACAGGCGGGCGAGGGGTGATCCGGAATGAGATCGATAAGGGCCGGCTGGGGCAAAGGATGAAAGCAAGAGGCGGTTGGCAAGGAAGAGGAGGAGATGAAAGAGTGATAAGTGTGAGTACCGCCGGCCACGCTGATGACGAACAAAGTACCATACGCGCTCTTGGGACGCGCACAGTCACAGGGCTCCGACACACCCACTCCGACCCGTCGATCGCCCTGCCCCGAGCGGCACAATCCCAGGGAAGCGCCTCGGGAATAATCCTTCCCCTCAACTCCGCTCGTCATGGACGTAATGGGCGACGAACATCATTCTCAGAACACTCCGGAGCAGGTCATGGGGGAACATATGAGAACCATCGACCACGGACGACGCACACGGCCACCAGACCGCTCCGAGCCACGCAACGGAACGCCCGTCCGAGCGCATTCGGACCCCGGTCCTCCGTTCCGACACCGACCCTAGGAGCGCCCCACGTGGTGGTTGCCTGAAGCAGACCCTGCGCCGGCTTGGCTCGGCGCTCGGCAGGTCTCTCGCGCGCAAGGTGGTCCGTCCGGAGGAACCAAACAAACACCGGCATGACGACCGTCGACGGTCACGCCGTCGACGCCCTCACCGCCCAATGTCCTCCTCATCTTCGCTCAACCCAACTACTCGCTCTCGCACCCTCCTCTTCATCTCCTACCGGGATTCCAGAGCTGGCTCCTCACGTTTGAGGCGCTCACGAATCGTCACCAACTATGATGAAGGGCAGAACGAAGACGACGAGCATGAACACCTCATTAACGCCGAAGCCGGCCACACCTCCATAGATGCAGACCTACCGCCACAATGGTGATTGTCCTCTTCACCGCCTTCCTTCTCCGCCATCTTCCTTCGTTATTCTGCCTATCTTGAGGCTTATGAGGGCACGCGCGCTCTAAGCGGGACGTAGGCGTTGGACTGCGCACATTATTCCGGAGCCGGTCCTGGGACCTGATTGTTGCCTACCCTGACGGCATTGCGGGGTCCTCGGAACAGCAAAGGGCGGGTGGGAACTCACTATTGTATTGTCTCGGGTGAGCCGTCTGCCTTGAGAAGGACAAATTCCGGGGCGTTTCCCCGTCCATCCTTCACGTCCGTGTGGCTAATGTCTTCTCGCGGAGCGTGCCGTGTCTGCTGCTCTGTCCGGATGGACATTCGCTACAGGGAGGGGTCCTTTAATACCCAACGATCTACATGATGGGCTCCGCCCTGAACATTCATTGAAACCATACTGCCTGCACGTTGCCGAAATCGTGGTTGTCATCAGGTCCCCTTGCGGCAGGCATTTGGATGCTGTCGACTGGAGAAACCTCGACGCAAAAGCGACGCAGTCAGCAACTGCCTATCTGAACTCCATCCCTGCGGTCTTCCCAAGCACCAAGCATCAACAAGGGAGCCTGTTTCTGTTCGCAGTAGCGAATGCGAAACAGGTTTCTGTTGGTGCAGTGGCCCGTCCAGCCCAAATATGAGGATTTGAGGCGTGCGGGGGTTCACCTTCATCTCCCGACCCACTCAGCCGATACACGGGAGCAACTGATGGCTGCGACGGCGCCTGCGCTCAGGCGCAGAAGCTTACGTTCCCAAGATATGGCTTTCCAAGGCAAAGTTCGTTGAAGTGGTAGGCGACTGCCTTTTACGTCTCCTTTGTATTGAGTGTCCTTCGGTCGAGAGCATCCGCAATCCTGTCCGGCTGCTGCCAGATCACCTCCCAGGTGTGAGCTATGTTGTTGTTTGCAACTTTCTCCATGTCACATAATGGCTGTCTTCTATGATCAGATCGACCTACCGGCATGTGTGGCCTGATTGTTCCACTTTGCGTTTGATGTTGAGCTGTGTCACCTCATTGTCATAGGTTGCCCTCGGACTAGGTTCGCGGGAATGAGATATCGTCCCATGTATCGTCGTTTGTCGGTCGTGACCTCTTGACACGAGCCATGGCCTCATGTTGCAGTGGTACCGGCCTACGGCCATTTCACGGCCAAGAAGTGTTGCCTGGATATCTAGCTCTTCGTCTTGACTCGAGGCATCTCTTCGACCGGCCGGCGGCCAATTTTCTCTGATGAACGTAGCGGATGTGTGCAAAACGTGTTGTTTCCATTGTCAGGTGCTAATCTATCGTCGGATCGCCAGGGTCGATGTCGCTGATCAAGTCAAGGAGATACTGGCAGGTGTACAGACTAAAAGTAAGTTCCGCCCCGGCTCGTTTTCTTGAAGGGTCACTCGGTGGCGCCGTTCTAACATATCTCACTGTTGTTTTGTGCTTCTTAGTGGCTGCACTCGACAAGCTCCACGCAAAGCATGTCCTGCCGGGATTCTCGGATCGGACGGCAGAAGAGAGGGAGATAGAGGCAGCCACTACGGACATTACCAAAGTAATAGATAGCAATCGCTCTCACTTGCACGATGACACTCGCTCACCCGTGATCGCTTCCTTCTATTTGCCTGTGATAGGACTTCCGTCAATGCAGCATTCTGATTCAACGGATAGGGTCGGTACCAACGCACACGTTCCCACCTTCCCAAGCCGGAGGGTCATCACACCACCATGAACTTGCAGCGAAGAACGTGCAGCGAGGCCTCGCGGCAAAGGTCCAGGAACTGAGCGCCACATTCCGCAAGAAGCAGCGGGTGTACATGGAAAGTGAGTACCCATTTTCCGGTTTGGGTCATTTCGACGATCGATGGCATACAATGACACATCCTGCTTCTCGTGCGCACGCGCGTGAACTTTCGATGGCACTAACGCTCCTCAATGCTCCATAGAACTGCAAGGGCACGCGATCAAGAACCAAGACCTGCTGGCTGCGTCGGGCGCGGTGTCGCTGAAGGGGTCAGCAGGCATGTCTGCGCTCGACGAAGACATTGAGGCAGCGGCACAAGTACGTCACTTTTACAACGCCGGCTTCTCGTCGGCACTACATGACGCCTTGCGATGGTCACTGACCGTTCTCGCGTATGTTCGTGCGGACGTCCGTTCATTGATCCCACTCAGTCTCACGAAAGCGCTGTGCTGCGCCAAGTCACGATGGCCGACGCTAACTTGGAGGCACGGGACAGAGAGCTCACGGAGATAGCCAGGTCGATCTCTGAACTGGCAGAGCTGTTCAAGGATCTCTCCGCACTCGTCATCGACCAAGGGACTCTGCTGGACAGCGTGGAATACAACATCGAGCAGACGGCCGCGCACATGGAGGACGCGGTACGAGAACTGGACACGGCGACAAAGTGAGTGCGCTCCGCTGCGGTTTCATCGTATGATGCAGGCATTACGTCGTGCGCTCGAGGGTGGGCAAGGTGGACGTAGACCGTCTCGGAAGGTCAGAGAGTGTCGCTCTCCGAGGCTATGGGCTTCTCTCATCCCTGTGCCCGGCTTCCACGCAGTTCTCTGGCGCTCGTATTCGCTCATTGTGGGTCGGAGCTAACGTTACCCTCTCCTCGCCGCGCAGGTACCAGAAGAACACTGGGCGCCGACAGTGCATCTTCCTCCTCCTGCTCATTATCTTCGGCCTCATCATCGTCCTCATCTTCAAGCCGCGCCGGCACCACAGTTCGCCTCCAGCACCGCCTGATCAGCCGGCTGCTGCGTCTACCACTTCTGCGGAGCTGCAGGAGCAGAGAGCGACAGCGACGATTGGGACGCCGGCGCTGGACGCGGTAGAGACGACGCCTGTGCCGATGCATCGGCTGCAGGTCAGGAGGGGGGTATATAGGTTTAGGTGACTGGACGGCGGACCATAACCTTCTGACCTGCGCTCCGCATGTGACTCATTGCCCTCCTTACGATACATAATTTTTACCCTAGATTCTCTTTACTGGCTTTCTGATGATGGTGGCGCCCCTACTAGGAACGCCGACTGTGCTAGTCTCGGCTCCAGACGTTCTTCAGCCTCTCTGCCCCAGCACTCGATGCGTCGCTGCGCTCCGCAAGCCTCGGGAGGGAGTAGACCAAAACAGGAAGGCGAAATTGATGGAACGAATCTCGAAAAGATCTGGAGGGGGGAAACGAGCGCCGGGGGAGAGAGGCTTTAGAACGTCTGGTGTGTTTCGGGCTCGGCAGAGGGCATTGTGACAGGCAGGTCACCGGTCCATGGTCCGTCGTTACATACGTGACAACATCACATCGGAGGCGCACGACGGAACGGAGGGATCGATGTCGCGCACTCGTTCTTCTGTCTGCATGTAACTACTAGTGTGACCCCAGAAGCTACGGATAAAGCGCCTGACCCCAGAAGCTACTGACACGCCTCCAGTTCTCGCATTTCCCTGTCAAAAAGTGTGCACAGGTTACACGCGAAAAGACGTACTTCCAAACTATCATTGTCTAAAAGAACGAAGGAAATCGGAAGGGATTTGCTCCCGATACAAGTCAATCTCAGTAGGGTTTCAAGGGTTTACTGACCTTGGTGAGCTGCCACAAAAAGATCTGCAGCGCCGATCTTTCTGTAACTTCGCAAAGTGTTCTGAACATTCTCAATAAACTTTACTGTTCAGTCTCCGATGGGTTCCGGGTTGCAGTATTCAAAAGATAGGAAGAGGTCTCTCGAGCGTGACATTCAGCCACTGACCGAGATAAAGCTGACTTTCAATCTGAGCGCTTCGACAATGTTGCCATGGCCAACTTCGCTATCAAACCGTAGCTTCTGGGGTCAGACGTGTAATTCCGCGATGCTCAATGCAAACCTCCACCGATTTTCTTCATATTTCACACGTATGTACTGTCCAGGATGCAAATGAAGTGCGCGAAGTCTGAAATGTATCAGAGAGGAAGGGAGGGAGATAACCATGAAACACGTTATGGGTCATAGCTTCTGGGGTCATACTAGTATACCTCCACTATGCTTGCGGAAGATGAATATCTAGCCTTCGACAATGATCTCGGGGAATTTGATCCTGACGATTACCTGGACTCATGTATTGAAGAAGTGGATTCCTCACCCCCTCCCCTTGCCGACCCTCCTCCTCGCACGCATGCGCGCTCCACACTATACGAGAACTACACCCGCGCGCTCAGCAACAGCATGGAGGCTGGTGGGATGTCTCTCGAGGATCGCGTTCTCGCATGTATCGATTACATGAACACAACAGGCATCAATCTTTTGGTAACAGCCTCGCGCGATGCGGTGTCGACAGCCCTCACGTGCCATTAGTCAGCCCACGTGGTGTGACTGATCGTCACAATGCCCTCTGCCGAGCCCGAAATGCACCAGACGTTCTAGCGGTACTGTCTGTAAGCGCTAGAACGGATGGGAACGAGACTACG